GGCAACCCAAGAATGGAAACTTCAGTGCAGCCAATGTCAGTCAGGCAACATCAGGCAACTAATGACATCGGCCTCCGTCCAACCCTTAGGAGCCCCCGTGAGTCTCCAAGCTCGAGGCTGAGGCTTGTTGAGGTGCCGCAAGCCGATGGAGTTGCCTCCACCCTTTCTGTAAGCTAGAGGATGCTTTCCCCCAGACTCCTTCTGAGCGTGCAGAAAGTACTGGACGAGAGACTCCTTGTCGGTCCTAGGAAGCCACCAAACGTTGTCAGAAGCAGTGCCAGGGTCAACGAGCTTATGCAAGAAGACGCCTCCTAAAAGCCACTCCTAGCACTGATGCTCCCAGCTGAAGCTTCCTTGGCTCTCAAAAAGCCCTCCAAAAACAAGCTCCTCAGAACCGTCCTTGCCCTTGTCCGAAAGAACTTAAGAACTTTCCAACCATACGTCGAATGAATCAAGGACCCTCCCAAGCCTTAAGCGCTAGCCTAGGATTCCCTCTAATCCCTTCCCAATCGTCCTTGGCCACCAAGCTCTTAGGAACCAAGGCTCTGAAAGTGGCAAGCCCTTGGTCACTGGCAGCAACTTTAGTGGTCTTGACCGCTTGAGTGGGGACGCAAGCGGGGAGCAAAGTACCTGGCGGAAAAAGCCGAACATCCCTAAGCACTAACTGCCCTGACTCCCACATGGGCATTAAAGCATTTTTTGGCATCGTCAGGTTGTTTGGTTTGTTTCTTGGCAACAACGACCAACGCGAACTTGCCATCGCAACACTGCTGAAGTTTGGCAAGCCTACGAAGGTTCTCCGCCTGAGCAACGCTACCGCAAAGGCAAGCAGCGGCATGTTCGGGTGGTTTACCATTCTCAAGCAAGCTAGTGAGTTTGTCAACAGCAATAATGGCATTGGCAGGCCAAGCAGGAGAGTACATCTGAACAGCAGCAGAACTGTCAGAAGCCTTGCGAGCTGGGCCTTTAGGTTTGTTTTCAAGCTGAACAACGTGCTGTTTCCCAGAGCCTTTGGCGGGGACAGGAGCCTGAAATGGAGGGAACTCTTTAGCCTTCCCCTTAGAAAGACCTTTGCCTCCTTTACCCAGCGGGTCCCCAGAACCTTTAGAACCTTTAGGCAAAGCATCCGAAGACCTACCCTTGCCTTTAGCCTCAGCCTTGGTAGCAACACCTTTACCCTCGCCCTTAGAGCCCTTAGCTCCGCTAGGCTTTGGAGTGGCGGGAGTGCCAAAGTGGCCACCTTCAACTGCGCCAATCAGGCCCTTGAGACGCGTCACCAGCGACCCAGGATCCTTCTCAGCTCTCTTGATAATGCGATGCGGAGCGGCAATCATCTGAGACTCTTGTGGTGGTGGTCGTTCGGAACGCCGCCGCCCACTCCATGAAGGGGGGAACTAACTTTGTTCTGGTGCCGGCAGCCCCCAAACACCACGCGAACGCCCTCATTTCAAAAGGAGGGCAACCATCTAACATGAGTGCGAAAATGGAGCCCACAGCAAGGAGCCTGAGGCAACACCCAACAACTCATGTGCTCAACCAACAGGGAAGCAATCATGCCACGGAACAACCAACTAAAGGTCTCTCCTCACACACACCGGGCACGCAGGAGCCAGGGTGGGAAAGAAGAAACCTTGTGGAAACAACCTAGCAAGCACAACCATGCCGACAAAGCTACGATCTCCACCTAGCTTGCCACAGGTACTCTTGGACCTGAGCGAGATAAGGAAGAACAACGTCCGACTCAGCCCTGCGACCCCAACCCCAGCGCCGAAGAAGATTGCAGCGCGGAATCGGTGGCCGAGAGCTCATGAGCGGACTTGCTTGACACCTAAAGAATCGCATACAACAGTCATTGAACACATGCGTCGTCTATCGTCGTCTGAAACCAAGCGGGACTGACAGTTGCCCCTAAGGCAACGGTCCCACAACCAGGATTCTTCATCAACCGCTTGCCACCATTCCATTGAAACACGCCGACGTCGAGAACGTAGATCAAACCCGCGCTTACAACCTGAGTGCAACAGCTGTTGAAACGCCGCCGCCCACTTCCCGAAGGGAGACGAACACGCTGTTGTGGTGCTTATAGAACTTTGTCGTCCAAACATCGCAAGCCAGCAACTCACAAGCCAGGAACCTCTGAGCCCTGAAACAAGGAAGGCGAGCCTCAAACACGAGAATCGGCAAACACTTCACTAAGGATGAAAGGTTGCTCACCGCTTCTCTTCAATGTCAAACAGCCATCGAAGAAGCGCACCGAAGTCACCATTCCGCCGCCGTGTTTCTTTGATCAGAGCCGAGATCTTCAAGCACTCAAACTACCAAGGAGAGAAGAAAGCCTGCACGCAACTCGGCCCACTCTCTTTTTCGCAGGAAGCGAGCATACTATCAGGTTGGAACAAAACACGGTGCAGCCAGATGCTACAGTCTAGCTAGCAAGACCGCACCTGCCGTCCGGCCTGTGCCAGTTAACTATTAAGCAGAAAAAGGGCCCGGACAGCCAGTCACAGCAACGCTCTCTTCGGCACGGGCAAGAGGGCAAGATGCATGTTACACAAAGCCGCATGCAGCCCAGCGGAGCAGAAACCATGCGACGAGGACCGAAATGAAAACCTGCACATATCTGCATGGTGATCTGCAGGGTGGGCCACCTAGCGACCCAACCAACGGTATGTTTGCTGACAGGCAGCGAACTGCGAGCATATGGAGCAAAGCAAGCCGTAGTCAAGCAAGCATCAACCCCGCTGCGGCTCTTTCGGCCCCATAGTCCGGTGATGGGACGTCGTGGAAGCACCAACAAGCTCAACATCGGTCTTCAACTGGGTACTAGTACCACCATCACCAACGGTGTTGATATGCCACCTGCGGCCTGTCACGCTTTTTATTTTTGCCAATCACACGGCTTTAACCTCTTTCTCAATCAGCTCTGTACTGGCCATCAAAAAATCTAAGCATCACGACGGCAGCAAAGCTTGCATGCTACTCGTATGACGTCGCCGCTGGATGAATCACATGGGCAGCAAGGACAGCAGCAAGACTAGGTGGCCAACCCATGGGCATCAACAACTGCTTGGCGACACGTGTGTGCAGCAAGCCAAAGGCTTTCGAATTTCATCGTGACAATAAAGTCCTCCTACGAAAACCTGTCGAATAACTCGTTCACAAAGGCACATACCACGCATCAGTCTACTGCACAACAACCACCAAGCACTGAGACCAGTCCGCGATCAGAAGTCTCCCCTGCCTTCGACAACAACCTGAGAGCAACTTTGCATGTGTGGGTTCCAATGACATGCTGCCAGTAGTAAAAACGGCTTGCAGGGTCACTTGAGGTGCAGGGAGTTGGCGAGACTGCAAATGCAGCATGTCCCATGCCTCGTGGGCAATGTGACATGTCACACAACGCGCAGCCCGGTAGGCATCGCACTGGCAACACGCCACTTCGAGCAAAGCACAACTGTGTCGGGGATCATCAGGGTGAGAGCAGGATTGCTACAAGCACTAGGTTTAAGCCGCCCCAACTGGCGTAAAGTCGCCCCAAGCCTGCGGCACACGGCGTGGGAGTGAAGCCACCCCAGCGGGGTGATGTCAGCCCAACAACAGTTAAACTATAGCCATTCCGCAAGGGCACACGCATTTTTGGGGTGTTCGCCTTTTGCACCTGAAATGCCGCGTGCCGTGCGCACCGTGGGTTGGGAAGCACTTCAATGCCGGAATTACACATCACACCAACCTTAATCCCGAAGGTGACGCTGGATTTTGTTGGTCGTTGCCAACTTAACGAAACCTAACGAAACCTCGCGGACGCCAGTGTTCTTTGCACAGACTGCTGCCATTTTGATACGGCATTGACGCGTTTTAGTAGCGAATCACGAAGGTGACGCTGGTTTCTGTTGTTGCACTACTGCAGCTGCATCTGTCGTATCTTACAACAAAGTCACCAAACATACACCACAAGCTCGTCAGACACCATCTAGACGCAGTGAAATGGTAACACATCAGTGGCATCGCAGCAAAGAGCAAGTCGAAACCAGCCATTCCCCATGCAGACGCTCGATGTTGCAAGCAGCCGCTCGAGAAAAACATCAATGGCATCACAGCGAACAGCAATCAAAACCAGCCATTCCCCATGTAAACGCTCCATTTCGCAAGCACCAACTCCAGACACAAGTGGCATCACAACATGTATCCAACTTCAAGGAAAGACCGCGCACTGTACTGGATCGCGCAGAAAGTAGAGACTGGATGAGAAGCAAGATATGGTAGAGGCATGGGAAAACTAACCCAACTTGCTGGCCGCTTGATGTCTTCAAACTTTGAGGACTTGTCGACAACACGGAGCTTGTCATCAACAAGCAACGGACATCAAATGCGTACGGCAGAGCATGTGCAAAGGTATTGGTGAGCACAAGGTTGGGAGAAACACGATTTATGTGCCTTCCTTCCGAGGGTGTTCGAGAATCTTCGAGGATTCGAAACGCACCGGCTCCCTGATGCCAACACTCCGGCAGTAAAGCTCCCGGAGTCCACCTGATAGTTTGGACATTTCTCACGCCGAAACCCGTTGTATTCTTGAAAGGGCTCCGGCTATCTTCGCCTTGGGCCCTCCAATCCAACCGAGCACTAAGCGGCTGCTGCGGCTGTTAGACATGCTCAAACCGACCGATCTTCATTTTCTTACCACGCCGGTGATGGGCCCTCACCGGAAGTTGGGAACCAAGCATGGGATGACATGCCATGTCTAGCACCATTTAGCCAGCACTGAGCAAAATCGCCAGCAAAACTCTCTGGCTGGAACGGGTTGGTTAACTTCGGCTGTAGTGTCTAAGTGTGAAGGCTTTGGTTCAACTGCCTTCGTGGCTCCAATTTCGCCTGATCGGAACCGTGGCACAAGCGAAAGGCACCCTCACTTACTATGAGGTGATTGAGGAGCACGTCTGCAGTGGACAAACTCACAGGCAGAGCACAGCAACGGAGAAGCTTGGAGCGCGGCGTTGAGAACCTCATGGTTGCTGCAGGCAGGTGGGAGAAAACAACACTATAGTCTGTTGGTAAAGACATCTTTGCACCCTACATTCTGAATTGAATGTGCATGGATGCAACAGTGAAAACAAGAAAAGACAAAAGCTTCTGCTGGCCAGCCAAGGGACAGCAAAATATGTAAAAGCCACATAAAAGAGGAAGAGAAGCTCCCACAATTGTGAGATCGCCCTCCTTTTGATCAGCTTGGAACGGTAAGCTCTCAGACATTAGCGTGCATTCATTACTTCACCAATTACTTCAGTGAAACCTCCCGGACTTGTGATAATATCGGAGTTTGAAGTCAAGCTGCAGTGGGGCAAGCACATTCTCCCAGTTCGTCCCACCGGAGATGCACATGAAAAGGCTGACCATGGTGCCCCAAAGCGAGTCGTAATGCCTTTGAGCGGCCTGAAAGTCGCACAAGGATGTCTTGAGACCGGCGGACGGGACGGCTCCGACTGCCGCACCTCGAAAGCCAAGTCCGGCAAGTCAGGATTCTCTGGGTCCAACAGGTAGCTGTTTACTGCCTGGCTAAAGAGTACACCTCAGTCGCAGAACCGTTTGAAAGGCCAGAAGGCTCGGGCCTTGGGCTTGGCGGCTTCTCGGCTCAAACAGGATAGTACTGGGTGCTGAGGCAACGGCCGAATACATAGACGATCAGGACCATAAGCATCAATGCCCAGAACAAGGATTTCAGTGTATGGAATATGGAGCTGATCAAGGTCCGTAGCGCTCTGACGAAGCGGAAGACACGCATCAACCGGACTGCCTTCACAATCCGGGCCAGCCGCAAGATCCGCAGGGCTCTTAAGCTTGAGACCGGATTGTCAGGGTTGTCGGTAGCCGTGCTGGAGGCATCCCACAGAAATATCAGATCCAGTGCAATATCCCAGATTGAGCTCAGTACAATGAAGGTATCCAGCAACGACCAAAGCCAGTCTTCTCCACAAAAGAATTCTCGACAGCCATATGCACACAGGCGCATGGAAAGCTCCAATGTAAACATGAAAGCCAGGCTGTACCTGATGCAGGTTATACAAGCCCGCACAGAAGGCAGTAGTAGTAGCAGTAGTAGTAGTAGTAGTCAAAAGACCACGGCGAAGGCTCATAGCCTGCTGCTTGCCAAGGCACTGAACAACGTAGAATTCAACCGGTGTGGAATCCGGCTGGTCTATGGCGTGTTGCACTTCAATGCCGATGAATACGCAGTTCAGCAGAACCAGAACCGCAAAGAAGCAGTCGAAGCTCACTGCCTGCACAATGAGAGAACGTTCAAAACTCAGCAAGCGCTGATCTCAGTGTGTTGATACAACTCAATGCACGCCTCGACGATTCTCTCGATGCAATTGGGGCCTACATCCTCGGATGAATCCGCCCGCCATCGAAGAGAAGCAAAGCGACGTCGATCCCGCGAAGCGGCAATAGCCGATGCAGCGTAGCGTAGTGAGTTGTCGATTTGCGAAAACGTGCGGAAGAAGGTCGGTGACGTCGGTGAGGTAGAAGGCTCGGTGGAAAGATGGGGTTGGACCGCTTCTGAGGGACCATACCAGACTCTACTACCCACAACGCAAAAGCAAAAAGCTTCGTCTATACTACTCCGGACACTCGATTCACCCTGGTCAATTGCTTCGTTGCGTGATGTTGCGTGCTTACCCTGCAAAGGCCGAAACACACAGATGCTTCTCATGATATGCCGCTCTCGTTGACCGAAGCAGAGTCTGAATTTCAAACGAAGCCGACGACAGACGACATCATCTGCAAGTCACTCGAAGCCTTGCATGTGATTTCTCTGCCCTTCTTGGGCGAACAAGCGGCTCTGGGCTTCACTTCGGAATCCCGGCTTGCGTGTCGGGAGCTTCTCTGCGTACTTCTCGTGCTTCGCATCGTCTGCTTTGACACAGAGGGATGGGGGCAAAGACCTGGGAGCGGCAGCGACTCGCAACGTGAGACCCGCCGCTCTTCACTTTCAGGCAAGGCGCTCGCTGAGCCCACCATCTGCTCGTTGTCGCCAGACACCAGCCCCGCCTGCCACCAAGATGTGCACTTCGCTGCAGCTCTGACCCAGGGAGCATCGGGTAAGCAAAAGTACCCGACGTCATAAGCATCGTTGAACCGTGCTTCCCAAGACATATCAAAAGACCCATTGCGCACCTCCTTGCCGTGTGCATCTGGCATCAGCACACGGCGCAGAATCCTGAGTCTGGATACGATAAGCCGATAAACCTTCTCTGTCGCTCTCTCCGTCTCTCGGCGAAGCAGGGCTGTCAATCCAGGAGGCTCTTCTTGAGCTGTGAGCCTGGAAATGACCTGGCGGCAATGGCCCAGTATCAAAACCGAGAGAAGACCCACTAACTTTGCGACTATATCCACTGATGTGATTCTTTGAGGTGGGGTGGCATCAGAATCAAGGATCCACAGTTCAAGTATCCGACAATCAGGATCATTGACACATAGGGCCCGGGGCTTCGACTTACGACCATTCCGTGCAGCAAGCTTCTCGAAAAAATCAGTCTTGAAACAAGCGTTCTTGCAACGCTGGTGAAGCGGTAGCCCGCCTCTGTGTGCTGTGCCGTCAGGACTTCAACCCTGGCAGTGGAAAGGACATAAGCCAAGCTGAACCACGAGTAAGACCCGCCGGGCAAAAATAAAAGCTATGCCTGTGCAATGACTTCGATGCTGAAGCTTCCAGCATGGATTACACCGTTCCAGAACGCTGCAAAACCAGCGCGGTTACGGCAAATCATGGACACATGGAGTCTGGCAGGTTCCAACCGGTTGTTCAGGTTTACCCCGGGTTTACCCTATTTACCCTATTTGCGCCTTGAGTCAAAGGGCATGAACCTGCAGGACTGATGTCCGTTTTTTGCCACCAAAGCACAGCTCGTGGTTGCTAGCGGTGTCCCAGATTCCACTCGGATGAACCTGAGCCAACAGGGAAGCATTGTTTGACAAACGGTTGTGGTAGTTCAGGGTCGCGTGCCGAGTGGCTGGCAGCGAGCTGCGTGGAGCTTCGGGCACACCATCCGATGCAATTTCAGCAGCCACCGTTTCTGCGATGGTGACCCTCGTAGTTCGCTTCTGCGGGTCTCCATCCTTTCTCTGGCCTGGAGGGCACGAGAGTTGCAAGTGATTGCTGTGCTACTCGTGATACTGACAAACTGCTCCTCTGTAAATGGCTCTTACTTCAACAAGAAAGCCGTAAACCCTTGGCTGTGAACATGACAAAGGAAGTCAATGTGCCTCCAGAGGTCCAGCTGTTCAGGTCAGTGCTGTCCTGGGTGCCACTGATGGGTCCTCCACAGGGCACACTCCTCTCGAGTGATTCGGGCCTTGATGATGCTGAGGCATGTGCCTCACAGGAGTGAAAATACAAGGAAGAAAACGAGCATCCTCTTGGTTGTTCTGTTTGGAGACCCTGCCGCTGGGGATAGTCGGGGGCAGGACTATGGACTGGAATGAATCGACCGGTCGCACGAGGTCACTGACATGTTCGCATATTATTGGATGTCTGCACACAGTTACAACACAGTACACTCCCAACAAGTATTGATGTGAAGCTAACTGGCGGCATCACTAAAATTCACATATTAGTGCAACTACGGCTGGCTTCCGGTCAACTCACCAGCTGTTTGACAGGTGCAATGTCTAGTGAGTCACATGCCGTGAGTCGGCGAAACTTTGAATTCTTCCCCGTACGAGGAAGGGGAATGTTGATGAAACACTCAAGGAGAACTTCAACTTTCAAGTTTTGCGAATTCTCCTAGAATGTAGCGGAAACACCGGACGGTTGACAGACCGCGACTGGCCATTGCCATCATCCTACCCATCGGGAACATACATGAACTGTTACAACACGGGAATGCATGATGCCTGACTGTCTGCAGAATGCAATTGTCATAGCAACATGAAGACAAGTAGCGTCTACCAGTTGCTTCGAGTGAATTGCAAGAAAGCTGTTAAGGTTAGTACACCATCAACTTACGGCGTCGGTATTAAGAAGATTCGACAGACGGCTACTGCGAACCATTATCAGCAGCGGGTGCACATCAGGACGTCTCTGAGAGATGGGTTTGCATGGTGATTCACAGCCGCACCGTACACAACAAACCGCATGACGTGTGCATTGGCCGAATGCTCTTCTTCAGCTCGGTCCGATAGACTCGAAAGACTCCTTAGCAAGACATATCTTTGCTGGACGGCGTCCAATTTGCTTTGCCCTCACACAGTGCCATGCTGCCGGGTGTCCAGGAAGCCAGCACCGTCATGGACGGCAGCAGCCATGGCATCAAGCTTGCCCGTCACTGCGCAGTTCATCACGTGCTAGATGCAGCTTGCTTCCTGTAAAGCACTCACGTATGAGGCTTGCGTGTATCGCGCCTATGTATAGTGTACGCATGTTACATGTCAGCTCTCGTTCGTACCTTTTGAGGCCAGCAGCTCATCGGATGTCATCTGTGGGCTTCATGTGCCCATGTCGGTTCTGGCCCAAAGCTTCACAGAGCCGTAAGATGGCCAGGGCCAGGGCGTTCTCAGACACTCCGAGCTTCTGCCTTTAGACAAACCCATACCCATCTAATATCATACCTCAGGTTATGGCTTCCCGCGTTGCAGCCAAGCGGAGTCTTGTTGTCTGAGCCACCAAACCTGTCGTGCGCCGAAGCCAAACCTGCAGCCTCTGAGAACTGTGGCGGTGGTCCTCGTTACCATACCTAAACATGCTATCTTGCAACCCACCGGATTTGGTCTTCCGACGGAGATGAGTCGATCATCATGTCGAGCAACAAAACTGCATGTTGGACTTCGGAAAGCCCTAACAAGAGCCGACGCACATAATCCCAGCTAGTGCCCGGATGTGCTCGTGAGGCCTCAACGGCGTCGCAGCGCAGCTGGAGCTCGGGCTCCTCTGGATACAGCTTGGCCTGTCCACTGGGGTAACAAAGAACACTTTTCATTGAGGGTTCTCCCCGCACCTCTCTCCCGGCCCAGCGCAGCAAGGCTTCCGTCTGAGCAAACACCTGCGCTGAACTGCGATGCCCATGTCTGAGTAGAGCTCAGAGCGAGATGAGAGATCTCTCAATTGACTCTAAAGCTCGCAATCTGCAACTGTTTCGTCTCGCAGCGCCAGCGCCCTGCAGCACCTGCCCATCCAACTCCAGCACCTCGTGCAGGACGCAGGCCAACAAAAAGTAATGCTCAAGTTGTTTTCGGGCCGAGAAGCTGGGACTTGGCCGAATGGCAGCTGCCCCTTAAGGTTCAGCTCTTGCACCTCCTCACGCGGCGCATGCGCAGACTCACAGGCTCCCATAGGTTCCCTAGGGCCTAACGTAAAGCGGCCAGTCCTGGTGAGTCACTCGCTTGTCTTCGAAATCTACATCGCCTACCTCAATCGTCCGGAATCGCTAGACCAAACGCAGCTGTCACAGCATCCCCAAGAATCTGGCAAACAACGCAAGTCTGATAGGCTCTGCCAACATCTTCGCATCCTGAGATAGTTGCGACGAGGCCACACTCTCTGTGCCTGTGGGTGACACTGCACACTGCACCACCACAAAAGCTTTCTGGGTCTTTGTTTGTATCAAGGCGCGAGGTAGATGAGCCGCGGCTTTTGCTTCCCCAGAGCCATGCTGGAAAGGCGACGGAAATGAAACTCCAACCGTCGCCGCGGCCTGGAAGAGAACCAGGAAAAGACAGAAAAGATTAACAACTATCCAATCAAACAGTGGGATCGACGATTCCACTGAAGGGCAATTCAACCGAAAGCACTTCAAGCCAACCAATCACTTGTTGCACGAGTCAACCCTGGACCGCTCGAGCTGATGTGACTTCCGACCCGTGCAGCCCATGTGAATGAGAGGTGCTGCCATGCGGCTGGGGCTGCCGTAAGCCACCAAGCTCCAGTGGTCGCTGCAATGAGCGCAAGCCGCGCGGCATGCAATGTGTGTGTGTGTGTGTGTGTGTCTGTGTGTGTGGGGTGTGGTGTTGAAAATGTGTGAGGGAGAGAAGGACTATTGTGCATCTGCTGGCTATGTTGGCTAGAATCTTAGGCATGTAGAACAGTAAGCAAGTGACGAAAGCCCACATCATTGCTGATTCTGTTCAACTCTCGACACATGTCCTGCTTCGAGTTGCCTGGCACTGGAGCACAATGCCTTCCGAACGGTTATCGGAAGGTCACATCTCATTGACACCTCGCGGCTTGCTGCCGAATTCTGAGAACTTCCTGGATGAGCTTCCGCATTTTGCCGAACACATCGCCTCCACCACCTGGCTGTGCGCCGAAGATTTCATCAATGCTTCGAAGTGTTGAGATGCTGCTGGCTTCTCCGGCGCTGGACCTCGAGGCTAACATGCAGCGGGGCTTGAGTGGCTGCTGCTACAGATGTTACAGAAGTATCCACAAAGTGAATCGATCACATGGTGGGTCTGCCATAGCGCGACACCACTCGCATTTTGGAGGCCAGCTTGTCCAGAACCTCAAATTCACGGATAGGGATGGGCTGAGGCTTGCCGTGCATACCTGCTTCATGCTCCTGAAAGCGGGCAAAAGCGACGGGCAGTGAGCCGATGCTTGGCAGCGACTGGCTCAGCGCCGGGCCGTTGACCTGGGTGGAGTCAGAGCTTTCAGAAAGACACTGACTATGATTGTATGACGACGTATTATGCCTAATATGCTCAAAGCCTGTGCTGGTTGGAGTATGCCAGCTGACTGTCGACTAGGTTAGTGGTAGACTGTCGTCCATGAACAAGTATGTTCTCAAGCACGTGCGACACGCTTGATACTGATACTTCCAGATAGCTCTTCGTATCAAGCTGGCGGGATACGACTACGAAGTTTCGAGTATCGTCCTAAACCTCCTGAAACACGACCCATGTACCTGAAGCGGCGTGCTGTTCTTGCAGCTGGAGTTCATCATTTGTCAAAGCCTCCTTCACGTTGGAGCAGTGCACGGCATCGGACGAGAATGTGATCGTGAAACCCACTGTTTAACTGCTTGTTGGTACGATGTCGGACCGCAGCACCACCACCGGCACCACCACCAGCGAACCAGCAGTAGCGGCCGCAGCACTTAGCGCGTCACCTGTGATGTCAGTGTATGTCAGTGTCAGAGGAGAAACGCTGAGCCGCCCTGCTTGAGGCTGACGGCCAACTGCTGCACCCTCTTCAAGGCCAAACTTGCCACAGTCTGACCAGCAGCCTCCGTGCTTTGCCATCTGACTCACGGACACCAGAAAGGAGCTTATTTAGGATTTAAGCGGTCATCTGTGCGGCAGTCAGTAGAGCTGCCGGGCACAAACCGTGAGCGACGCCTTCGAACGGCTGGAACTGGAAGACAACCTTGGTTTGAATACAGTCGAGGCCTATCAGAATGCCCACCGCCAAGATGGAAGTGTTATGAAAAACGCCGTTTACGTTGATCCGGGGAGCTGCAGGAAGCTGAAGAGTCCTTGCTTTGCAGCCGACGTGTCCATGATTCCTCGGACACAAACAGCTGCCGGAGGCTTCAAATCTTCGCTGAATCGGCTGTGGGAGCTAACTTTCTCCTACCCCACTTGTCCCAAGGTTGAAAATGATCAGTCCAGCTTTGAGAAACTCCTTCCAACTTTCCCTGATGTCTGTGTGCACTCTTTGCAAGATGGGCTGCCTCGCAGGGCCTTGAGAGCAGCCTGGACGGCCTCACCACCGAAACAACAGGGACGAAGGGTGAGCGGACTGAAAATGCGTTGCCTTGACTTCGTCCTGCCGGTTCTTCTTCTGCTGCTGAAACTGCGCAGCCTTTCGCCGGTGCATGTCTCTTCCAAGGCGATGCCACCGCTGCTCCACCGAAAACAAAGCTCTGGCACATCTCACCTGCTGATCATCTACTGTGGCGCGTGTTGCACACATTGCATGGCCTTTTCCATGCAACCACGCTCCACCTGCACCAGATACCTGCAGGAGGTCAGAGTTGAGGTGAGGGCACGATCACTCGGTTCTCTGTACGAATGCAAACGAGATCAAGACTACCGTCGTTCAGTGACCACGCCAGCCGATAGGCGCACTCCTTGCCGGTCTTGATGTCCTTTCGAGAGTCGCCGGACGCTGTTAACGCTCACTGAACTCCGGGCCAATGAGCCCCACTTGAGCGGTGAGCGCACGAGACAGTCAGTTTAGTCGTGTTCAGCTCAGGTCTCCTGTTCTGCCACTGCCAACTCGCCCTCCGCTTTGGCCTGAACCAATGGAAGAGACGAAGCATGCTTTCAAAAACGTTGCTTTGCCGTGATGCGAACAACAAGCACGGCTTCGGGTTAAAAAGCGCATAAGATTGCACGCTTCTGGAGAGTCCGGCCGCCCCCTGTAGACGCAACTTGCATCGGTGCAAGAACGCCAAAAGTCAAGATGTCCGAAGTTAGGCGCGACCCTCTTGAGGATTAGTATCTCAGGGTCGTCATGTGCCTGAACACGACACCCTTCAAAGTTCAAGACAGAGTAATCCAGCTCAAACCTAAAACCCTTCTCGACGCAATGAGAATTGCTCTCGCAAGGAAAGAGCGTCTACCACAAAACTCTAAACTCATGTCAAACCCGTCGTTGTGGGGTCCGGAAGGTTTCTGCGACCTTTGAGATTCACTTTGAAGGTTTAGCGACAGAAGCAGCTCGCCTTCCTGGCCCTTGCATCAGCCAGCTCCTTCTTCGTCCTCTCAAGATCCTGCACAGAGTTGGGTGCTTAGGGCGCAAAATGAAACATGCCAACATACGAAAGCCGGGAGGATTGCCTGCTTGACTGCGCGGATCTTGCCCTCGAGGGCCTGACAGCAAACTCCAGCCTTATTGGGTATCCTGCACAGGGCTTTGGCATACCCTATATATAGCTTATCTAGCACAAAGCTTCTCGGCTGGACGTTTTTGGCATTGAAAGATGACTTGATGCATAAAACCATTGTCTGGGGCATCTGGGCATTGAGCGATGAAATTGAGCAACTACGGCCACATCTTGAACCTTAAACCCCAAGAGCAAGCAGGTCCTCCGGTTTGAATCGGCAGCTACTACTATCACTACTACTACTACTACTACTACTACTACTACTACTACTACTACTACTACTACTAGTCCTCCTCCTATTACTACTACTACGACTACTGCTACGACTACTACTACGACTACTCCTCCTCCTCCTCCTCCTCCTCCTCCTCCTACTACTACTACTACTACTACTACTGCTACGACTACTACTACGACTACTACTACGAAAACTACTCCTACTGCTGCTACTGCTACTGCTACTGCTACTGCTGCTGCTGCTGCTGCTGCTGCTGCTGCTGCTGCTGCTACTGCTACTGCTACTGCTACTGCTACTGCTACTGCTACTGCTACTGCTACTGCTACTGCTACTGCTACTGCTACTGCTACTGCTACTGCTACTGCTACTGCTACTGCTACTGCTACTGCTACTGCGACTACTACTGCTCTTCCGAACACCAAGAGTCCTTTTGGAGGGTGCCTCTGGCAAAGCAGAAGTTTTGGCTATAGGGGTAGTGAAGCAGCGAAGCGAAGCCCCCGCTCCCTTGGCGCACGAATCAGCCTACAATAATCGGCCTGGCAAATGCGAGCAGGTCTTCAGTAAGACGCCGATTTGCACACTGGAAACACCGATTCGTGAACGCGAAATCGGATTTGAGCATTGAAGAAAGAACTCGCGCACTGCGAAGATGGAGTCGCAACCGCAGCGGATTCGTACATCAAGAGGGATTCGCGCAGCACAGCCCTTTCCACAACTGTAAACCAGCAGCTTCAAGGGGCTAATTGCTTTGGGGAATCATGTTTTCAATATGCCAGACCACGTTTGAAGTACCGAGCATCCAAGCAACACCAACCCAAAAACCCGACAGTGCGGAAGTCGACCCAAACCCTGAAAAGCACCCAAATATGTTGCCTACTGCTACCCCCAAACCTAGACCATGAATTTAAATCCAAAATCCTATACTCGACACCCCTAAATCTCGAAACCCTCAACCCTAAGCCTAACCCCAACACATGGTGCTAATCGCCGTGCTCGGATGGGGGACTGGGGCTCGAATCACACTTTTGCGCAGGTGGAAAGCAAGTCGAACAATAACAGGTAGAAAGAGTTAACGGCGGCAACTGTACTGGGCAGCGAACATTCTTGAGCTTCAGAAAGTCGGCTGCGTGGCGCTTCTCCTTTCAGCCAGCAATTCTCTGCAACGCAACCGTTCCTTGGCATTTCAGTTCCGACCAAACCCACGGTGGCTTTCATGACTCCTTTGCCCGCGCGGCATCGAGAGAAGATTGACTTTTCGCCTGCAACCAGATGCAAAGCGAAGCACATGCCTCGTAGATAGCATAGGTCGAAAATTCACCTATCACAAGGGGGGAACATGGCAGCCTCCACGTCTCGAAGAAGCTGCAAATTCTCCTGCAACCTGGCTTCAGCTTTTCCGACAGAGGCGGCTGATGCCGGACGTGGGGGTACTTGCGAAGTGTTGCGTTTGCAAAACATTCATGCTGCTAAATTGTCGAATGAGAAATTATGTTGAAAATAAAAGCACCCGTGTTTTGCAAGCTCAATGCGGCACATCTGCGACATTTAATGTCGGGCACCTGGTCGCATTCTACCTCCGGGCCCAGAATCAACCACGATGTGTAGAAATATAGATAGGTCCTACCGCTTACCTGATTTCTGGAGTATTTACACTCCTTCGCTGAGTGCATGAAATCATTCTACATCTTTATACTGAGATGCGGTTGTATGGGGCATGCCCCGGACGCTAGGAATTCAGAGCGTGGAAGTGGAGGTGACAGCTAATCTATCAAGATCCTGCGCTTACACTTACACGCAGCCTGTGGACACCTGCATTCCGACAGAGTGCAGAAGCCATTGATAGGATCCAGAAGCAGTCCGCTTCAGCGACAAACTTGCCACCGGCGCGTACTGATGGAAGCATCCTGCGATCTCATGTCCCCTTCGAAACGTCATGGACATGCAAACTCACCGGCCGAATAATGAACACCCAAGGCCCCCAGCTATGCATTTTGATGCTTGTACACGCAGCACAGCAAGCACATCTGACAAGCGCCACTGCTCTGTCTAAGAGGAGAGTTCTTCCGGACGCTGCAATGCGCAGGACGTCCGGAGGACACAGATGCCAAGAGTCGAGCTTGCGTGCTACAGTGTGGTGAGACATGGAGGGTGCAGAACAAAACGTCATCGTCTGGTTAGTAAGTTCATGCGCATTCCGACACATTGAATAAACTGCAACGCCCTCGGTTTGGCCGTCTGAGGGACTCAACAGCCCCGTCACAATCCGGAATCTCTCACGAACAGCGCGACTGAGTTTCTCAGTGGCTGCTACATGTGAAAAAAGAAGCTTGTCAGCTTGAACCAGGTAACAGGTGCTGAGGAGCCTAGAAACCGCCACTGGCGGCTCTGCACCTGGATCGGCGAGAAGCACATTTACATGGCTGGACGACATCCAGCACGAGACGCTGTCATCTCCGGAAGCGTCATCACTCACAGCACGGGGCTTTAACCTCCAAGAACAGCACAGTTCTCGCCCGGCTGTGCGAGCACAAACTGCATTCTGCAGATGACAGCACAAGTGTTTGAGACCTCCGGCAAGCCGACTCTGAAGTTAGACTATCCGGTGGGAAAGTGTGGCCATCAAGGGGTCGGATGGACACAGAAGTAGAGTGGTAGAACTAACTCGGGAGCCATGAGGCTTGGAAATGCGTGGCTAGTCGGCTCGCTGCCTAGGCCTCGGCCTCTCAGCTGGAAACTAAGTCCATCTCCGCCATGACATCGTCCCTGCGCCCAGGTTGCCGGTCGGGCCGTGAAGGGAAGCATGACTTCAGAGAGGCCGAGTACTGAAGTGGCATTTCAGTAGTTGCGAATAGACTTCTGGCATGTATCAAGCCTCTCCCCCGAAAGTAAACCTCAGAATAAAACATTCAATCCACCAAGACCTAACCGCAAACGCCACGTCCTTAACACAACCGCCAACAAGCCGTCCGAATGGCAGCAGCACCCGAAAACAGCTGCTCAAGACAACCTGCTTGAACAACTCTTACGAGGAACAACAAGCAAATTCAAGTTGTACCTTTGAACACCCAAGGTTGCAAAACATGATGATGATTTCCATGCGATCTCTGTTCTTTTCACGTGGTGGCAGCAAGTTCTAAGTTGAAGGGAGCCAGAAATAATACATCAACAAGAACTGCGGACATGCCTTACGTCTATCTGACTCGTAACTCCTGCCCTGCCGTCCAAATGCTTGTCCATGTCATAAACTGTCGAGCTCGTGACCAGACTCAACAGACCCCTCTTGGAAATCAAGTTTGTACACACACAAACATACACGAAGCACACACGAAGACGGGAAAGTGGTAAGGCTAGGAAGCAAGTCGCCGAAAGGCCAGGGTCCCTCTCGGTTTTGGACAAGTTGCGCGCTCATTTCTTCAATGATCTCCGTCGTGGTCGGTTCCAAGCCGCTCCTTGGCTCCGACTCAACACGCTACAGCTGCTACAGCTGCTACAGTGTGCTCTCTCTGCATCTCTGCATCTCCTTGCTGCCGAGGCACAATCCCACGAACATCTTCGCCTCAGAATGGACAGCCCCCAAGACATCAGTCATCGCATCGAGGGCTTGCTTAAAAAATCAAAAAATACATTTCACTGCAGAGTTGTCGCAAAATTCAAGCGCACAGGATATGCATGGATATTCATGAACGAAATACGTGAACAACTCAGGAAGGCAGGCTCCTGGGCTCACCCACTAAACAAGCTTCTTTGACGATGCCAGGGCGAGCTGGACTTGCCTAGGACTCTAAGACCTCAACCCTGAAAACCCCTCAACCCCAAACCTAAGGCCTCTCAAGCGAAATCATGAAAAACCGAAACCCTACGAACTAATGCCGAAGGCAAAGTGCCGACCCTCCATCATGACTCCCAGTCCTCATCCGTGTAAACCCGAGATCCTGATCAGCTGACACCTTGCGAACCCTGAACACGAAACCCTAGAAGACCCTAAACCCTCGGATCCCTTCAGAAAGCCTGAAGTCGCCGAAATTTCCAGAATCTGCCGATCTCGTTTCGTGAATTCGCCCCCGGCGCACCCCTGTTCTTAAATTACTTTACCTGCTGGCCGCGGGCTTCCGAAGAAAGACTCCGGCTCTCCGGCTGCGCACTGCAGCAAAGACACTTCGATCTTGCCAAGCTCTTCACTCTCGAAAAAGAAGGGGCCAGGCAAGGCGAGACCTCTCCGCGTGTAGTGAATAGTGAACTGAAAAACCCCCCAAACAAGCAGAGGACGAATATCGACAAAGAAAGCACCAACCTTTTGAAGCTCGGACATCCGAGAGTTTCACCTCGGCTCCAGGCTCCAAATCTGCAGACTTCTCCGAGCCAAGGCCGAGTTTGTGTTTTGCAAACACCCGAGTGTGCTGTTGTGAACATCTGCATCTCTACGTATGTGACAGGAAGGCGTACGGACGGACTGCTCCGCTTCCGGAAGCTTACATAAGCTTGCCACCACATGAAGCCAAGAAGCTGTCAAGGTCGCCAGAACTTCGTCCCCCTTGGTTGGCCACAATGTGCCACAAGGCTGCGAACTCCACTTAACATTGCTTCAGGAGCAAGAACTCAGGGCAGAGCTCGCGTCTCTTCGATGTGGTTCGTATTGGACGCCGGCGAGGTGTTGCCGAAAACACCCTTCTTCTTCGCCTCCTTTTTCATCCTGATGTGCAAACGAAGGTAGCCGACACTATTTTACAAAGGGCCTTCAGCAGCTTCGGCAGAACATGTACCGGGAAGACGGATTGGCGTACTGCCAAGACTAGATTCGCGTGCTGCAAATGATCACGCACTAGACATTCTCGCGTTGACTAGCAGGCTCTTCAAGTGCAGCCATGCAGCTCGTCCAACTTGGCCATGTCTACCTGACCGGGTTGACACTCAAGGTCTCCTGCTGTAGTGGACAGCAGAATTCCTGCGATTCGTTGGTAACACATGATCGCATACACGTCTCTGCCAGCCTAGAACCCAGAGACGGCCTGACTCTTCAACTTGCAGCTAAGGAGCTAAGTCGAGGATGAGGTCCTCTGTATCCGCATCTTGATTCTTGATCACAAAATGCCTTGGAGCGAAATCTGCACAGGCCTGCAGGCCAGTTGGAAACTATCCACAGAAGTAACGGTCGAAGACGATGCAGCAGCCGGGCTGCAGGGATCTATTGATCGCAAAGCGCGAGCTTCGCAAGGATGTCAGGTCCAAGACCTGCACATCTTGGGTGGAGCTCGTGCTGCCCGACTGGACAGCAGCCGTGAAATGCATGCTCATGCACAAAGTAGCAGAGCTTCCGAAGCTCACTTCACGGCACTGTCAGCATCCTCACCCGACAATTCCGAATGCAGCTTCCTGACCTTGCCACGCAAGTCCTGTACAGATACTCCTGCCAAGACCGAGATTAGGCGCCGTGATTGCTTGAGTTATTTGCGCATTATGTAAAAATCACCTTACGGAATCTGTACAGCGCGAGGTGTGCTGATGAACTTCTTCACGGGGCCTGATCTATCTTTTCGACTTCGACACCTGCCAGCTGCCACATGACATGGGCTGCGAAATGCACAGAACGAACTGTGCTTGGAGCAGCTGGCACTTTGTCCAGGACCTTTAATGGATGGCTTCTGTCACCTGCGTGGCCTGTTTTTACTTGCCCCTTGCCCCTTGCAGTTGTGACAACTGCACATGTGTAGATGGTACAGATTCGAGAGAATCAACCCGGCAGAGGCGCGTAGGGGCAGAAGGCCGACGCAAGAACACCGTTCCCACACATCTCAGCAGCAGCAGCAGCTTGAAAACGGGTCCGGTTGCAAGACAGACCCATTGCTCGGTGCTGGCCGGGATGAAAGAGTGCTGCATGTTTATTCGCCTTGATATGTCAGAACAACTGGATAGATTTCAAAAATCCGGATGTATTCAAGAAGAAGCTGGTGAACTGCTTTCGCTGACAGTTTCTTTGACATCTCCTTGCAGCAGGCCTGCATCTGTCATGTTGTCCTTGATCTTCTGTAGCATTTCCTTAGCAGAGGCATGCTATCCTGTTGCCATGGTGCTGTTGTTGATAGGAGATTACATTCGGTCTTTTACTCGCAGCGTCTCACTAGTTGCTTCGCGACGGGCTCCCTTTGTCGTCACCACTCACGGCGCACAACTCTTCGAGAATCCTCCAACTTCACCCCGAATCTGGCTCAATGCAAGCATAGTCCGGGACTGAGGCGCGGGCTTTTGCTGGCAAAGTCTCCGTGATGTCTAACATCGGCGTACCTGCCTGGCGAAAGTGCCAACACTGCCTAGCCCGCTCTAAACAAATATCCACAACCAAAAACCACACAGTCCATCTGCAATAATGCAAGCCACAACAGCAGCAACATCACAAAACCCCAAAAGGCTCTCATCGAAAAGGTTCACCTTACCTGCCACCATGCATCGAATCCCCTTGCTTCTCGCTCGCAACGCATTGATACATTGTACTACTCGTGCCTATACATATACAAAAACATGCCATATACATGCACATATACTTATACATGCCAGCGGCGTGTTTACCGTACCCGTGAAATCGGCTGCTGGGGACTGGGGGGGGGGGGATAATAACGACATGGTTGACCGTAAGCAGTAACGGGGGGGAGGGGGGCTAATAACGACATGGTTGACCGTAAGCAGTAACACAGTGGCGCCGGTAGCAGTAGCAGTGGTAGGATGCTTGTAACAACGTGTCTTGCTCCACATTCTTGTGCAGCATGTACAAAAAGCCAAAAATGCTGTAAATACCGGCGCTTTGGGCATGACCGCCAAAGGCAATCACATGAACATTAACCTGACCATCTTCATCATAACCATCATCCTCGCCATCTTCAACATCATCGTTAACTGCATCACCGGCCTTATGTTGATGATGACGACGATTATGAGGATGATGATAGGGATGATGACTATGAGGATGATGATGAAGATGATCAGGTAAACGATGATGTTGAGCATGGCGAGGATGATGGTTATGAAGATGATGATGATGATGAAAATGGTCAGGTTGATGTTCATGTCACTGCCTTCGGCGACCATGCCCAAAACGCTGGTATTTACAGCATTTTGGGCTCTTGGTACAACATGCTGCACAAGGATGTGGAGCAAGACACGTTGTCACAACACACGCGCGTAAACCTTTTCGAGCAACGCCTCCCACACAAAACGCGAAACAGCCTTGTCATTTGCGTACTTCCAAAATACACTGAAATTAGCACGCCACCACAGCGGCAGCTGCGTTTTTCAATATTTAGGGGTACGGTAAACACGGTGGCGGGTTATACATGGACATACATATGCACATACACAGCTGCACACACGCATATTCACACACACATTACATACATGTATTGACATTCCTACACTTACAGACACATGCAAGAACACAAACACATAGAAATACAAACATGCACGTGTATAGAAATATGTATATATGCGAATATCCATACATGTGTTCATGTGTATATACAGGAATGTACATATGTGTGTACATACTTCTGTGTATACATATATAAATGTGTATCAGCATGTGTATGTAGATATGCATGTACCTATGTACGTATGGTATATATATATATATATATATGCATATATATATATATGCATATATATATATATGTGTGTGTGTGTGTAATTGCGCGCGCGCGTATTCATCTGCGCTTGTGTTTCCTTATACACATACACGTCCACTACAACAAGCATAGCATAAACACAAACATGTACATACACATATCCATAGGCATGTGCATAAACGTATACATTCCCATACAAAAACACAAACACATACACATATACCGCTACACACATACGCACGTGCACAGACATACACATATGCACACACATACTCACATATATGTATTACACATATATAACACCATGTAAGGATATATGTATACATGTGGACATGTCAACATGTACACGCATGCAGATAATGACTGACTAAGTCATCAAATAGTTAGGCAATTGAATATTGAATGATTGAACAGTTTAGTTGACTGACTAAATCATTAACCAAATTATTAACTGCTGAACAAACTCATTAACCAATTGGGTTGATTGCATTTGGGGCGCGTGGGAACGTCTTCATTGCATTTGGGGCGCGTGGGCGTTTCAGCAGCTAAAGGGTCGAAAACTGTACAAGTTCCAGAAGTTCTAAAAGTTTTAAAAGTTTCAAAAGTTCTAGAAGTTCAAAGTTCTAGAAGTTCTAGAAATTCTGCAAGTTCTAACAGTTCTAGAAGTTCTAAAAGTTCTAAAAGTTCTAAAAGTTCTAAAAGTTCTAGAAGTTCTAAAAGTTCTAAAAGTTCTAGAAGTTCTAAAAGTTCTAGAAGTTCAAAGTTCTAGAAGTTCTAGAAATTCTGCAAGTTCTAACAGTTCGAGAAGTTCCAAAAGTTCTAGAAGTTCTAGAAGTTCTAGAAGTTCTAAAAGTTCTAAAAGTTCTAGAAGTTCTAAAAGTTCTAGAAGTTCTAAAAGTTCTAAAAGTTCTAAAAGATCCAAAAGTTCTAAAGGTTCCAAAAGTTCTAAAAGTTTTAAAAAAAACCAGAAGGGTTCAAACTGCGGAACCATACACAGACATCATCAGAGCAAACACCTTTCCGGGAGCAAGGCTGCACCAAACACGCCCGAAGCCCCCCCCACATATATCTACAGACATACAATACATATTTCATGTCGATGTATGTATATATCTATGTAAATATATACACACACCTGTACATATACACATATGTGTGTGTGTATGTCCAGATATATACGTAGTGATATGTACATGTATGTGTTTGTGTCTTTTTTGTTTATGTATATTTATATTGTAAGTGTGTGTATGTGTACATGTATGTATATCTATACATACATACATACATACATGCACATATGTGTATGTAAACAAAGTTCCAAAAGTTCCAAAAGTTTTTTAAGTTCTAAAAGTTGTAAAAGTTCTAGAAGTTCTAAAAGTTCTAGAAGTTCTAGAAGTTCTAAAAGTGCGCCAAAATTCCCACGCACCCCAAACGCAGCGGAGACATTCCCACGCACCCCAAACGCAACTAGCGCAACCAATTAACCAACTGTTTAACGAATTTTTTGACCAATTAGATAATTAGGTACTTAGCTTCTAGTTAATGATATTACCTAATTAACGCAGCGTTGCATTCCTGAAGTAAGCGATTGTTATGTGCTCAACAAACTGAATAGACCATTGACTATTGGCTAGCTGATTACTGAGGTAACTAATCCACAGATAGAACTAGCTAGCTAGTTTGTTAACGAATTAACTGATCAAACACCCACTTACATATCCAAGTAACCAATTCAATGGGATGATTAAATGGCTAATTAACTGGAAAATTTGTCTGAATACGAATATACACATATACGAAACAACTGATGGGACAATCCATTCATGAGCTACTTGAACAATCAGCGGCTTTCAGCCAACCAACTAACTGTTTGATTCTTTTCTTAACCAAATACTGTATTCATAGTTAACTAGTTCACTACTTCATGCGACGATGAACACACTAATTTGTTTTAAATGTTCATTTTTGTGTTTGTTTTTGCATTTACATACGGATAAATCTTTCATAGGTGTGCGTGAGTGTGTGTATATGTGTATGTATATGTATATGTATATGTACACTCCATATATATATATATATATATATATATGTATATGCATATACATAGATATGTACAATATGTGTATGTGTACATGCACCTATATACATATATATATATATATATATGAGCTGAGTAGTATCCCCCCTGCAGTTCTGCACTGCTGTACTATTGTGAACCAGCAACTGGTTTTGAAACCCGCCGAAAGCTTAAACCCTTGACATCCTTGAATCTGGAGCAAAACATACAAACAAGCGCTGCGCTAACGACGTGTTAGCCCAAAATCCTACTAGGGTGCAGTGGCTCCTTTTTGGATGGTCGAGTCGCATATACTGCGCCCGGCCGAACGCACCGCCCCTGAAACCGGTGCCGGTGCCGGGGTGCGCACTTCTGCATCCACCCCAGGGCGACCGCCCGGTGGGGCGGGCGACGGCCGTCTAAAAGTCAAAGGTCAAACCTCCAGGGTGGAGTGGGCGGGAAATCGGAAAAGGCGATCGAGCCGGCTAGCTGCGGCCGATCGCTGACTCTTGTTCCTACACGCACACGTGCGTTACACAACAAGCGCTGCGCTAACGACGTGTTAGCCCAAAATCCTACTAGGGTGCAGTGGCCCCTTTTTGGATGGTCGAGTCGCATATAATGCGCCCGGCCGAACGCACCGCCCCTGAAACCGGTGCCGGTGCCGGGGTGCGCACTTCTGCGTCCGCCCGGCGCACCCACCGCCCACAAGGCGCCGGCACTACCTACCAAGAAGCCAAGTCAAGCAACCTCTCAGGAGCCTCGTGGCAGGCGAAGTCGATGTCGGCCGCAGCCCGCCCGAGGATCACCATGACGTCGTCGACCGGTGCGCGAACGCGGCACCACCCTTCACGAACCGCTCGGGAGTCGTCGCCCCTCGACACAGCGTCGGACACATTGGCGGCAGAGGGTACCCGGTAAAATTCAGGGCACCAAGCCCGATCCGCCGCCAGGCCCCAAAAGGCGGCAAGGATGCCGTTCACGGCGGTGTCCCGCCCATAGCCTTTCATGAGGGCGAACTGCCAGCACCTGCGCGAGAATCTCGAGCACATAGATAAAGGCCCGGCGGGACGCAAAGGGCTTGAGGTACTCGGGCTTGACGACGCCGAAGTCGTAGAACACCTGGCCCTCGAGGAGGAGCACAAAGCCCCAGCCGTTCTTCCACCTGGCCGACCAGCGCACCGAGTCGCCCGGCTGGAGGTGCCCCACCTTCTTCCTCAGGTCGCCCTCCAGGAAGAAGGCGTCCGCGTAGAGAACCGGGACGGGCGTTGCGACCGCCCCCGGCCACGGTATCAGCCGTGGTTGAGCTGACGAGACCAGGCGGCGAAGGGCCAGCAAGGCCGACCGGAGCCCGACCGACAGTGAGTCGTCGAAGTTGGCCGCCGTGCCGGCAGCCCTGGAGTAGAGCGGCTTAATGGCCGCCCGCCCGGTGCAGCCGAAGATGGACTGGCTGAAGAACGTCAGTCGTCCGGCCAGCTTGGACGCCACGTCGGGCTTCAGGGCGTCGTACTCCAGGGCGAGGTCGATCTGTTGAAGGATCTTCTTTGTGCGGTCGGCGGTGGGGCGCAGCTCGACGCCCGCCGAGTCGACGCGCACTGAGACGCCCTGGACTACGGCCGAGCAGGGCGAAGAAGTCGGCGAGGCGAGGGCAAGGTACGTGGGCGGAGTCGGCCGAGTCCACGTCCTCGACGCCGTTGAAGTCGTCCACGAAGTGCCCGAAGAGGACGAGGAGCAAGGCCCTGGCGAGCATTTGGACGGCGTCCGCCGCCCGTTTTCCATGTTTGTACTGTAATGCCGCAATCCCATTCAAGTCTCTGTCTTCGGAAGCATTGCGATGGAGTTTTGGCTGAATAAAGCTTTCAATAGCATATCCCCGTGTCTCTATGTGATTGCTTCTAAACACTCGTATATCCGGTATATTTGGGTGTTGCATCGGTTTGGCACTGTTTCTAGGTGATGAAATCTTCGCTTTCTGTATCAGCATACCTTAACCATCACATGGAGCCGACTGAAACCACAAGGCCCCATCTAGCTTGTCCGGCTTATGGTTGTGTTCTTGTGAATTTATACTGGAGCCCGAATAGAAGCCGTTGTCCCGTTCCAGAACGTGATTCCTCGCGATAGGAAATGGTAAACACACACCGAAACACTCTTCGAAAGAGAGTTCACCCCCATGTAGTTGGAAATAGCGTTGCTAGGAATTTGCTACGTACCGAGCGAGGAAACCTAACAGTTTGTAAGCTGCAAATTTTGTTTCGCTCACCACACATCTTCTTATCATTGTTGTCGCATCCAAATCCTGCTTCCTTGGAGTGATGTTTGAACATAACGTTGCGACCAGTTCGTCTATGTACAAAGTGATGAAACCTGACCATGCTGTTAACTGCAAACTACTGTCTCTCCTTCTGCATCGTGCCTGAAAAAATCAAAAAAGTGCCTAATACCTCGGACCATCTATTCTTCTAGTCCTTGCTTAACTTCATTGCTGTTGCATTCCTCTTGAAACCCCGCAACTTTCGAACGCTTGGATTTAGGTGTTGATGAAGTAGCGGTGAAACAGATTTGCTTCGTAAGGTTTATTGTGCAACGGGACAATGAAGGCAGCCCCAAGTTTACAAACACAGGCGCCCCGGTGTTTCGACACGGTGCAACAGTCTTACAGGTAGGGTCCGAAACCAATAAACCAACAGACAATCTTCAACAATTCACTGGTACCCAAAACAGCCATCATTTAACCAACACATCTTTTCACCATAGAAGTCTTGCGTTTGATTTTTACTGCTTAGGGTTTGGCGCTAGGGTTTGGAAGAGACTTAACTGAACCATTAAACCCGCTTTCGGCTGTAAAGCACGGAAGACTGAAACCATTAAACCAACAAGGCAGTCCATTTGATCTATGGGGCACGTGGGAGTCTTCAAACTCTGAACGTATTCTGTGGCCTGGTTATAACGTGTGTCACAGATTATAACCAGGACTGCCGTGTAGTAGGCAGCCCTTAGACCCACCACTAAACCATTGAACAAATCCATTTGGCTTGTAGGGCACGTGAGGCCGAAACCATTAAACCATTAAGCCAGTACATTTGGCCTGTAGGGCACAGGAGACCCAAACTATTAAACCATTAAACCAATCCATTTGGCCTATGACACCGGGGGCCTAAACCAAAAAAGCATTAAACTTTTGGCTTATGTATTGGTATGTTAGGCTCGTTGGGGGAAACGATTGGCTAAATGGTTTGATGGTTTAATGGTTTATTTTCACTAGAGGAGAAGCATTGGTTGAATGGGTCATTGGTTTAGTCATGGGGCAAAAGGAATGGTTTAATGGTTTAGTGGTATGGGGCAAATTGATTGGTTTAATGGTTGAAAGGTTTAGTGTTATTCGGCAAATGGAAACGTTTAATGGTTTATCGGTTTAGCGGTATAGAGCAAAAGCATTGGCTTAATGGCTTATTGGTTTGGTGGTTTAGGCACCCTGTTGGTTATAACCAGACAGAAAGGTTATGACAACGTAAAGAGGAGAACATGCTACTAATTTAGTGTATCCAAGCTCAGCAGACAAAAGGGGGGGTATATAACCTTATCCATATGCATATATATATATATGCGAAATCCTGCGACACAGTCGCAGAACCTGGCACCCGAAACATCGTGCCTTCGTGATGCTCGACTCGTCCTTGAATTTTGCCCGCACCGCGAGTCGACGACCCTGGGCAGCAGCCCACGATGCGGAATACGGAGATAATCATGGCAAGACGAAGCAAGGTTGCCGCTGATGCATTGCCCGAGTGAGCAGCAACAGACCCAAGATTCTGAGTACCAGGCCTTTATCTTCGAACCCGCCTGCCCGCGCTGATTCAGTATGACCACCGGAATTAAAAGCAGGGGCATCGAGACTCCAACAACGGTACAGGCTTGCGTCTTTCCCAGCCTGCAGCAGCTCCCGCACACGCACAACGCAAACCTGCGTTCTCGACAACGGAGATTTTTGAGCTTGATGCCAGCCTAGTTGCTAAGCGTGCTGAAACAAAATCTTCCAGGTGGATAATGCATTCTTCCATACCTTTACACTTTACGCATTGGAGGGCTCAGGGGTGCAACTGTTCCTGACATCTTCTTCGGGGAGTTAGTAGTAGCAAAGCAGTTGCTATCTATCTCAACTTCATCACCAACTAGAGAGACAAGAACCCGCACCTTCAGTGTTGCGAGCTGCCGGGTAGTGCTGATGCAGCCGAGGAGCAAATCCTTCTTGGGATTGATGACCAGGCGCAGTGATCAGCAGCTCGATCTTGATGGACGCAGCGAGAATTGGGATGTGCATTTACAGTGCTACATTGCTCAATACATGAACCTCCCACCAGGGTTTGCAACAATGCACAAGCTGTGGTGGCTACATGCATCCCGCCTTCGCGGTGAAGGTTCCGGCTTGCCGGGTCTCTTCCGAGTGATCCCCTGAACACTGAACACTGAACGCATCAAACAGTCTTGACAGATTGGTAGCTCCCTCGCGTGTTTGTTTTGGACAGCATCAAAAGCCGAAAAGCAGATTTGGATGCTTCTTTCTTTCGTTGCAAAACTTCCGAAACGGCCGTCAAAAGCGCAAGCGTCCTATCAATCCCAGCCTGGACATATGAGGGGCACTGCAGTTTCAGAGAGATGCACTGCCTGCCGGTTGGCATGTGTGCAGAATCACATCAAGTTTCATCCAACAAATATCATGTTTGTCTAACACCTACCAGCCAGCACTGAATACTCCGTGAGCCGATGGCGTGTTAGCGGCCTTGACTGCCGCCACGGTCTTGGCTTCGCCCATGAGGTCGTCCTGACCTGCCAAGGTGGCACATTTTTCGCGGCCTCCTGGCTTTCAGAAAGCTGCTCTCTCGCCACAGGATGCCCCTTAACTCGTGGAACGAAGGCAAGTGAACTGCATAAATGCAGCCCGTGTCGCTCAAGAGGTCGCGATCCCAAAGGGTGACGGTCAGATGCTGCTCCTGAGTTTCTAAGTCCGAATGTCGCTAGCATAATTTCGGCTTTTGAGATTTCTGACTGAATGTGAGATCAGCGAACAGCGACTGACTTTTGTGTGCCAGGAGCGAGATTACCGCACCGTTGCAAACTCGCTTATATGCCAACGACGCCAAGCTGCAGGGTCATAGATCACGAAGTTGAAACTCTCTGCCTCGGGGTTGCCGCGTCACAGCTTGCAGTGGCACCATCGCAACGCCCATGCCACTATAGCCACGATCAGCTAGCTCTCCGAAACTGAAACCATGAAAATGACAAGCAACTCAAAGCTGTAATGCCCTACAAGTGCTCGCCCGCTGCATGTCTTGATCAACCGCACAACACACAAACAGTCTTACTCTTGCGTAACTGGGCTCCACACACCTGTGGCGCGAAAATCCGGTTGCCAAACTTGGTTCCCGATTTTCCTTATCGGCAAGACGCAAGCAGAACGCATGTCACTTGTGCACATCCTAATTGAATCATACGAAGATATTGGACAACAGCCAAAGCACACAAGCTCTTCCGTAAACACTAATCCAAAAACGAGGTATCATCTCGAATTTTGCAGGCAAGACACCACCTCATGTATGGAGCGGTTTCAATACCCATGACTTGGCCTCGGCAGTCCCGATGTGGGAGAGCGACATCTGTATTTTTTGTGCGACCGCTCATTGCCAGAAACGGCTCTGTTATGCAAATATTGAGTTCACTACTGGGCAGGCACAACATATGCTCATGATTCATAACCTTTCAGACACATGTACCAACACATGTTTGCATTTGTTTATGTATGTAGATATGTGGATGTACACATGCATGGACATATACATATATATATATATACACACGCGTAACAATGTATATATGATCCCGGTTCTCGGTTCACCGACCCCCCCCCCCAATGGTATCCCCCCCCCCCCCCACGCTCCCCAAGCCGAATCTGTGTGTGACTGTGCAAGCAAGCATTTTCCACACACACGAGGGCTCACAAGCCAAGCAGACCCACGCAGGAAACCCAAACCACACCACAGGGGGGAGTGGGGTAACCAGCCTAAGCAGACCCCCTCCCGAACCACACCACACCACACCACAGGGATGGGGAAGCAACCCACAACCACACCACACCACAGGGAGGGAGGAGGAACCATTGGCGGGGGGGAGGGGGGGGGCCGGCCGAACGGGGATCATATATGTACGTGTGAGTATGTGTATATATGAACAGACATAGATGTATACATGTGCAAACATATATGTATATAAGCACACACATATTAAAGCATGTATGTACATATATACGCATATACAGATATACATATATACATATATACATATATACAAATATACATAATATACATAATATACATAATATACATATGTATATATATATATGTATGATTATCTGTGGTAGCGCTACGCATTAAAATGGGTTCATCCAAGTTTACGATGACAGTGATGATGTACTGTATACTCCCGATATCATGCATGGAGGATGACAGAAGCCACCTTATTTGACCAAGGTCTGTGCCCACATGCCTTTCCACCCACTCCTCGCAGTCATGTCAATCAAGTTTCTATCGGGATCTGTCGGCACCGCAAGGATCGGATGGAAATGACTGACAAACACAACATGGAATACTCCTAAGCAGGTAAGGGGTTTGTCTGCACATCCGCACACCGCGTCAAGATTGCTGCTGCGCTCCTCGGCATTCTCCATTCCGTTGGAGACGGCTTGGACGGCCTTCCAAGCAATTGCTCACATGACATCAAATCAAAGTATATCAAATTGTGGAACTCGGACGAAAGAACCAAACACGACAAGATACGACAAGCCTGCTTAGAAGGAGGGCTCCCCTCAGCCCTTCCGGCCTTGCCACTGAGACCCAGCAGACGTGAAAAAAAGCCTGCAATGTGCAGGCATCTGGTTGAATGTGCAGCGTCATCATGCGTCTTGCGGCAAACAGAATAAACTCCACGCTGCTTCCTGGGGTCCACCAGCTGAGAGCTGAGAGTCAAAAGCACAGCCAAAAAGAGTGCGGTGACTTGTAGATGCAGATACATGTATTCGTGCAGCGGCACCTGCAGCCTTTTTCTTCTTGGGCTGCTGGTCCTGAAGGTGCATCACAGTCCGAAGGCTCTGCTCCATGTCGTTGTCAACTCTACACGACCCTGGACAGTTCAGGTCGAACAGTCGAAACTGGGGCGAGAAGGAGAGGGAGAGAGACACCGAGGGAGAGCGAGAGAGAGACTGGGAGGGGGGGAAGCTGCCTCCGGCAATGCGATGGCTCTTTCGTCCAAGGCGGTCTCCACCAAAGTTACCCGCCTCAGGGAAATTGTTTGGATAAGTTGTTCATGACCTCGTGCTGTAGGGCTGTTCTGTTGGCAGCCAAACAACGCACTTGAGAAGAAAAACTCGCAACACACACACACACACTCGTGGTGACAGGCACACATAGGTTTCTCGATTGATGTAGAGGATGGACTTCAGCTTACTTGCCGATGATGTTGCTCACCTATGCACGAGGTATTAGGATGTATGATGCATGTCAAGTGCCTTTCTCAACAGAATAACCTACATGTCCCACTTGGCGCCCATCGCACATATGCTAGATGTCGAAAGGTGAGAAAGGCCTGTGGGTTACAACACTCGTTTCAAAAGACATCCGCCCGCTGGAAGAGTGCTCTGTCAAGATGGTGGCTGCGGCAGAAACTTGCAAAAGACGAAGACACCGTTATTAAAAGAGATTTCTCTAAGTGGATGTGCTCTCTTTCCGTCTTGTTTCTGCGCATACTGTCTTGTTCTTGCCGAAAACACACATATACCACAAGGGATTGGAATCGGCAAACCAATGAAGGAGCAAGCAGCCAAACCACTGCCAATATCATCATAGTCATGGTCCTTATCATCATCATAACCGTCGTACTTGTTGGCATCATAAGTACTGTCAACGTCACCTGTAGACGCACCGTCGTCATGCTTCATGACCATCATTGCTGGATCATGGAAGCTCTTACAAGCCTGGCTTCCGAAGCCGGCATGGATCCTCTGGTGAAGGATTTGCCACGTGATTTCACATAAAGACTTGCTCGCCTGACTGGTGTGCTGAATGTGTTCGATTCGGAAAGAGTCCCGTTCGAAATCATTGTTCCGTTCCCGGGCCCGAGCTAGGACCGGAGCCCACAACCGCAACTCGAAGCCACCAGCACCACAATCAATACAACTGCCGTCTGTTCCACTTCACTCACTCACCTGTTCGCTCGCTCACTGACTCGTTCACCTTCCTGTCAGGTGCATCCCCATCTTCACGGAGCTGAGGGCGCCACAAAATCCCGACTGGCACCGGGCTTGCAATGACGAGAGGGTACATCTTCATGTCCTCGGGACACAAGCCCGCACCCAGCATTGAAGCCGCGTGCCTACAAGCGGCAGCGAAGCTGGGGCTCACACATGCAAACTCATATGCTGCGTTGCCACATTGGGCAAGACAAACCTGAACAACAAGCGCGTCACCTCGCTTGGCTCATGCAGATTTCCTAGCCCCTTTGCTTGCGTCTTGATGGCATATCAGCAACCATCGCATCGACGAGCTGGCGCATTATTTCCTGTCACAAGCGGTTTCCCGATCTCCACAAATCTGACTGCCCACGCGAGTGTGGCCTTGATGAATGGAAAGTTTCCAATCGTCATGTCTCCTGCGAATCTGAAGTCCACCTTTGGCCTGAGGTCGCTCAGTACAGCACGACCGAAGTGCTACTGCCCGGAAGTAGTCCGAGGCGTCTGCGGATCCACAAAGAAGACTGACACTCCTCCAGTCCCTGGGGCATCAGGAATATGCGGGCCTCGGGCAGCACATCGAGCACAATCTCCGGGGTCAGCATGCATTCTGCATATTCCGAAAATCTGCTAGCAACACCTGCAATCATTCACAAGGCACCATGAGGCGCAAGGCATTGATGCTCGAAAGGCTTCTTTCTGATCCTTTCCTGAGTCATCTGCGCACGCGCAAGACGAGTTGCCCCAATATCCTGGCGGTGATTGGTGCCACTGATCAATGCCCACTGCACTCACTACTGCTTTAGCACACTTCATGCGGTGGCCTGAAGTCTTTCATGCCGAACGTCCATTTACCTCAAGAAGCGCACCCCTTCAGTGGTTTCCGTGGAAGTCAATTAACGGCTGACGCCACCTGTCACATGCTGTCGTTGATGGACGTTCTGGAGTACAAGGGTGGGAGGAGGATTCATGCTTCAACTTCGTCCTGCTTTGGAACTCGAGACAACCGTCATCGAAAGAAAGGTCAACATGAAGTCCAGAAACCGGTTTATCCAGTTGCCATGCCAATTTGGTGGCCATGCTAAGACGTGAGACGTTAACACAAAATTCAATCAGACCGGTGTCTTCGACTGTGTTAGTCTCTGCCAAACAGGGCTGAAGATACAAAGCCAAGTCGCCAAGTGTGCTGTCCTCGGGCGCCAGAGTGCGGTCGCATGGTAATTACTTGTAACCAACAATCGAGGTCTGAAAACCTGTTTGGCCTGTGCTAGCCAAAGGCAGCCATGACAGCGTCAGTTTATCTGTGTCAGATCACTCTGAAATGGCGCATTAAGGCGGTGGATGAACTGGATGCGGTGAAAAAGCACACACATGCATGCAAAAGCCGCTACAAATAAGCTGAAGAAAGACAGCAAATCCGTCAAACATGATGAACTGTCGAATGTTGGATGCAGCAAAGTGACTAAACTAACTCCGACCTCCATGTCGGAGCTGTAGTCCTTGTTGCGAGCACACACATGTGAGTTGCTTGCAAAGCGGAAGAGCAGGAGCTGATATGCTTGAAAACACAAATGAAGGCTATGCAGAAAAACGGCTGGCTTACCTAACAGGCATAATGTCTCCAAGCTTCTAGTCGCATACGAATGCGGACGGAACCTTTCGGCATTCTCGAGACCTGGCATGCAGATTGAGCTTACAATCCAAAAACAAACCACAGTCTTGATGACAGGAAACTCCGAAACCATACTTGGAACTGCGACCAGCCCTTCCGAAACGGGGATTCGGAAACCGCCAAAGTCAAAGACCTATTTTAAAAAAGTGTGCGGAAGTTCGGAAACCGCGAACAACCAATTCCGAAACCGCAAACAGCCAACTCAGGAAAAGAATGGTGACAATTCAATCGCCGCAGGACGCTTTCCCGTTGTGTGGATCTGACTTCTGCATTGCGGCCATGCCCATGTCAAGTCAGATATGCTGGACCGCAAAACACGCGGCCGTTTTCGGAAGTTGCTACGCAAAGTAGAAGCCCTACATTCGTCCGGAACATGAAATTCGTCCCAAGATGAAACCCTAAAGCTGTCTGGAGGGAATCTTTTAAAATCGAAGAAAGCGGAGCAAACCTTAAAGCCGTCCCCAAGACGAAGGAAGGCAGCGCAAACCCTAAAGTCGTCGCGAAAATGAACCCGTAAGGTCGTCGCGCAAATCAAACCCTAACGTGAGGAAGGCACAGCAAATCCTCTTGTCGTCCCGAAGATAAACCCAAAAATGTCCCGATGATGAAACCCTATACCTGGCAAACCCGAAACTGGTTCCCAACAACATGAAACCGTCTCGAAGATGAGACCCGATACCGCAGAAGGCAACCCTAAAGTCGTCCCGAAGATGAAACCATAAAGCTAGGAAGGCAGAGCAAGCAAACCATAAAGTCGTCCCCAAGATGGAGACTCAAATCGTCAAAAAAACCAAACAACCCTCAACTCATCCCGAAGATGGGACCCCAGAGCGAGGAAGCCACAGCACACCCGAAAAACGATGCCTAAAAATTCCCCGATGATGAAACCCTAAAATGCGGAAGCCGCAAACCCGAAATTCGCTCCCAACAACATGAAGCCGTCCCGAAGATGAAACCCCAAAGCGAGGAAGGCATAACAAACCCCCAAACATGAAACCCTAAAACGAAGAAGGCTGAGCAAACCCTGACTTCGTCCCGGAGACAAAAGGCATAGCAAACCCTAAAGTCGGCCCGAACATGAACCCTTAAAGTCGTCCCGCAAATGAAACCCTTAAAGCGAGGAAGGCACAGCAATTCCCCAAGTCGTCCCGAAGATAAACACCAAAGTTATCCGAAAATGAACTGTGAAGTGAGGAAGGCACAGCACACCCGCAAAACGAAAGATGCACCGATGATGAAACCCTAAAACGAGGAAGCCAGGCTTACCCGAAACTCGTCCCCAACAACCTGAAGCCGTCCTGAAAATGAAACCCAACTCCGCGGAAGGCAGCCCTTAAGTCGTCCCCAAGATGAAGACTCAACTCGTCCAAGAAAAGCAAACCCTCAAGTCGTCCCGAAGATGAAAACCTCAAAGCGAGGAAGGCAGAGCAAACCCGTCTCCAAAAATAAAGAATAGCAGAGCAAACTCCGAAGTCGTCCTTAAAATGAGGAATCCCGAACTCTGAACAGCACAGCTCTCCGACCGTCACCCCATAGAGACCTCTCAACTGTATGACTCAATTCCGGAGTTGTAATGTCTGGGTTTCCGGATTGGCTGGTCTGCTTTCTGAACCCCGGCTTTCGGAAGTTTCCCACTCGGTTCCTGAATTTCCGGTCGCAATTCGAGATGAGCTTCGGAATTGCTGGCTTGGTTTCTGAACGGATCTTCCAATTGCCAACTACGTGCGAGGCTCAAGAACTACCTCAAAGGCATTCACCCAAGGCTGTCCAGAGACTTACTGAAAACTGCAGAACAGAAAAGATGTCGTCATGGCTACCACAAGGTCACGGGTGTTTGTAGGTGAGGACAGCCTCAACAGTGGCACCGCCTTGCAAGGGTCAGGCCACATAATCGCTACTTCATTCCCGCTCAAAGCCTCCCCGCGCTACGCAAGTTTACGAGCTGCCATGAAAGAAGCCGCAGGAAAAAGCTAGATACGTGGCACATTGTGGCTAGGTTAAGCTCAACCTTCAAGCAACTGGAAAGCTCAGCACTTTGCGACCTGCACTGGTCCCAAGACCACTGGCACCGAGCCGAGTGAGAAGTTGGAGAAATCCACCTTTCGTCACATCTTGATGTAAAGTCACGGAAATTCGTCTCGAGCGTGCTGATGCAGGGACTGAGGCTCAATTGTGCCATGTACACTTGCAGCAGCTGGTCCAGCGTATACGCAGTACTATAAGTTCGCTCCGGTCACACTAATCATACATCGTTCCGCGGAAACACTGAAACACCACAATCACATCAGGATCGGTGTTGGGCCTCAATCTACCTTGCAAGAAGAACAGAAAGCGGAGTGCAATCCAAGCGTCACCGGTGATTTTTCCCTTGCCCTGCGCAGAGTGCGAAACCAAGCCGGAGATATCGACAATCATAGTGTTCATGTGGCGCTACATGTAAAAACTTGCCCGACATATGATTCCCTCGAAGGGTTCGCAAATGCAGGGTTGATGAACTTCGTTCTCAATCAGACCAGGGTCACCGCTAGCCTTCGTCAGGAGCTTCTGACGCAGGATGGGGAGGATTTTGCCTCAGGTTACCCAGCAATTAAAAAAATCATGACACCTGTTGCTATTTCCAGGACATGTCAACCAAGTCTGCTCTGTGCCCAATGAAAGCATAACGTGCAAGCAAGTAACTATATGCCACCGTCGCCGCCGCCTTCAACAAAATCAATATGCGGATCAAGAGGTGTTCGACACCATCGGACTTCCAACTTTGCAGGACTGAGCAAACAAACGTCTAGCTAACCGCAGTTTACTCACTTTGGGCCGTCAATCGTGTACCAACGAGGCACACACCGCCCTCGAAAGCCGGTGTCGGCACATTGTGCCCAGTCTCTGCCTGTCCCCAACGGCCGCCAGTGGTGAGGCGAATGCCGGCGTAAGCAAAAGTGCGGAGAGGGCGGGAAGGCAGGTGCAGTGGAACATGCACGTTGTGCCACCCTGCGATACCGTGCGCACCATACCAAACGTGGCAGCAGCAAACCTGGACTGGAAGCGGTGCCAACGCCAGGTGTGCATTCGTCACCGCCAAAATTGGCCCAAATGGCGCTAGCAGCGGTCAAGGCGCCAAATCAAAGACGAGGCGACGTCGATCGCCACGTCCAAGACCCCATCTGCTCGTCTACGGGAGCTCGGATGCTGTGCTACAGCGCCGCGCCCGCACAGCACGTTGTGTCGTCAGCAGTCACTCGGCGTCGCCAAACAAACTACGATGTGGCTGCCACTAGCTGGTCCACCTTCAGGACGGAAGGCGCTGCATAGCGGAGGGTCGATGAATCCGAGTCAGCTGCCGAGATGCCGAGAATAAAAGGCGACTGAGAAAGGCTCAAAACGTGCGCTCGAGAGGCAGGCCGGCTTGGAATATCTTCTAACAGAACCCCAGCCTCGCTCAGCTCTGGCCACAGGTGCTTCAATGACATATTGAGCCTAGGGTGCAAGCCTATCATCCTCCTATCAGACTCCAAGATGATGCGCCGCACGTGCTGCAGGACTCTAGGATCCAGACCACTCAAGATGTTCAGCGGTGTTTTCCTGAGGAACGGGAGCTTTACATGGAGTCGCGACCACTGTGGAAGAATACAACCGTTCAACTAGCATCCGGCCGGGTTTCTTGCAACCACCTCCTACTGATCATACATGTGGGCAACATGGTGATTGTCACAGCTGCTTCTACCTCAACAAAGGCCAAGGAGCATGGACTTCATGCACTTCCCTTCTGCCCCCCTGTTCCAAGGTTCACTGCACAAACCGAGCGGGACGATTGGTCATGGACGGTCTTCGCACATTCTCGGTCTATCCCTGACAGAAACAAACATCAGGCACCCGCAGCCTGACCAGCAGAAGACTTTATGGACGGCCGCTTCTTGGTCGCCGCCAGCCTGCAGGGCACAGGCAGAAGCCTCTGCTAGGCTAGGCAGCCACGAGATCTCAAGAGACCTCGGAGAAAGGCTCGTGGACTCGTCTCCCCCACGGGGACTTTCGTTGGCTGCCAGGTTGTTGGGCGATTTCGCCACGACCTCCCACCATGAAATCTCCCGGAGGACTCGCGAAACTGCTCGACACTGCTCTGAGCCTCGTGTTGCTCGTCCTCTTGGCCAACATCCATGCAACAGTTCCACATGGCTGAGCGGCAAGCTGGCGCCTGAACTGGGGTATTGCTAGGGGACTCTGCAATCTATGGGCCAGGCATGGTCAGGCCAGCGCAACAGGAAACGACTCTAGCTGGTTATCTTCTTCATCAACGTGGTTGTCTAGCAATCTGAGGACTGTTGTAACTTCGAGCCGAAGCGCCCGCAGAAAGCAAGGCACGTGCTGTCGACACCGAGATCGAGAGACACGATTGCACTCTGCTAGGTTTTGATGACATCAGGTTCGTAGCACAAGCAGTTATGCAAAGGACCTGCATGTGCCCACAAAATCTTACAGGGTCATGCAGCTTGTCAACGCCGTCCTTCTTGGGCTCTGTGCTGATGTCAAGCTGAGAGTTAACCTATGCATTGCGACAAGCATGCACTGCAATTACTTGCGCGGAAAACCGAAATGCAAGTCACGATCACGGCGGCCACGGTGGACACAGGCGTGTTCCGACGACTGCAGCTGAGGACCGGGCCCGTCGCTGGGCCAAGGCGCTTTGCTCAGCCTCCGCTTGCTCGAGCAAAGACGGGTACCTGATCCGAAAGAATCCAAGAAGCCTGCTCTCACTCCCCGAACCTCGGAAGTACTTCAATGCGGTATGCGCACTGCTTCATGTCCTCGGCGGCAGACAAGGCGGCTGCATTGGTCAGCTCCTGATCTGTCAGTCATGTCGCGCCAACGGCCACAACGGCTTCTCAGCAATTGCGGCCGAACTCAGTCTTGCGAACTTAGACGTCCCAAAACATTGCACGCATTCAAGGTGCTCAGCAAGGCAGAGCATCCCAGTAGTGCTCTGACAAAGCTACAGAAGTCCAGGCACCAGGAAGGTGATCAACACTATGATTCAGCTTAGCAGAATTTCGATTTATGTCGTGAGCTAACACCCACTATCATGAAAAAGCCTTATTTGTGATAGCTTCTGCACCCGAGAAGCCACCATCACATCGCTGAAAGCTTCCATCGCCTTTTGCACGGTTCACGTTGCTTCTCCACGTCTACCGTACAGACAGCAGCCCACGGCCTTGCTGGGTCGCTTCTCCGTCTCTAGGAAAGCCTCCATCCACGGATTTCAACGGCAGTGGATCTAAGACGTGGGCACCTACAAGATATCTCGAAGCTCCCGGCTCCCGTCTTGGCGACTTTGCCGCCGGACGCAAGGATGTCCTCGTCTCAAGCATCACAAGTAAACAAAGGCAACGGGCCAAATGACGTGTTCGGCCTGCTCCAGCTTGGTTTGGGCTGCCTGGGTGGTGCGGATGCCTTCCACCAGCTCCAACTCCAGAGCCTGTGAAGCTCAAAGACACACCTGTTTGCTCTTGCTGATCGCTCCCTAAATCCTCACTGCGCACCATTCAATCTCGGACTTGCCTTGAAATCCGAAGCCTCTTTCTCTCTGAGCAGGGTTGCTGCCTCGCATGCTGAACACCGCCCGCTGCTAATGCGTCCATGTCGTCTCACGACGGTGCTCTGACTCTTCTCACCGCTCGTGCGGTCCATGTTTGCCCGACACGGCTGTAACAAGACTCACTGTGTCCCATCAACCAACGAAACTTACACTATGTCCAGGTTGATTATCTGACATCTGTTAGCAAGATCACTGAGTCGGTGTCCCTCTTCTTTGCAACAGACACAACTCCAGGTCTTGCTAATACATGATGATCAACGTCAAGGAGATACCATTGCCACGCATCTGGAAGACCGATGAAAAAACAAAAACCCTGTCAATGTTCTTGCTATAAAGCTCGGACTCAACACAGACTTTTCGGCAGCTTTTGTGTCAGGCCAGATCTTTGTCTGAGCACCGCCAGAGTCGCGTAGAGACTCACATGACGTTCAACACAAGGCGTCTACCAAATTTCAATATGCTGATCTCAGAGTCCATGGCGGTTGAGACCTTCAACAGAGCACTCACTTGGAGATGTCAACAAAAAACGTCATCGACAGAGACCTGTTGCCACTGCCGATACACTAGCTTCTACTCGAGCTTCCAAGTAACAAACACCAACAACTTCTGAAAACACTGGCCTCACCGGTCATGACAACACCCAGGTCGCGTCCCTCCACGAGCCAGCGCAGCTCGCCTTCGGCACTCCAGCTAAGCACAAGGACAAGGCTCGACCTGCATTTGCATTTGGGCCTTCGACCTTGTCTCCCATGGACACTTCCAACTCCATGACCTCACCTGAATTGTGGAAACGAGGCACGCGAAAGCAACACGAAACGTGTCAACTCAAACTGAACTTCGCTTGCGTGCGCACTGCTGAGCGGCGACACTGCCCAGTCTCCGAGCCACAGGCTAGCAGGATCGAAGAAGAGCAAAGTTTGCTCCCAATGAGTGGAAGCAGCCTGGTGGAGCGGAGCGGACTGGAGCGAAGAGGAGTGGACCGGGGTGAGGGAGGGAGTCAGTACGCACCAGATCGAACCTGGACCAACTCCTCCTAATCCACTATCAGAACGTTGCCTGTTGATTGCAGCAAGGATGTTGGTTTTCCTGTTCTGTTGTGCAAACGGTTTGGCGCTTTTGTTAGCAGACAACGTCCTTGAAGCGGCTTCACCTGAGTGTTGTGATCCACCTTCTTTCGTCCGGGGCCGTAGCAGCCGCGAGCCCGACCGCACCTCTGGCTCGGAGGCTGTTTTGAGGTCGAAATCTTTGCTTCGACTTTGATCTGCCTTGAGTCCGTGAGAGTCGGAGCTGGCGTTGGTCTCGTCCACACGGCTGCAGTCTGCATTCCTTTTCCGGCCCACAGAAACTCAAACCGAAGCCCCAGCCTAACCTTCCTCGACAAAAGAAGCCCAAACACGGGGAGTCTGAGGGCACGAGAATAGTCACAGGTTCGTGCAGCACAATGTACCCATGCCAGGCATCGCGATGCCACTCATAGCGCAAAACAGCGGCGCTTGACCCAGCCCCTCAGCAAGCGCCATCGCCCCGAAGAAAGGGGCAACCGAACGAAGAGCGAGGAATAGCCTTGAGACACTCGATGCCACGAGCAGGCATGTTGGCAGCAGGTCTTTGGAAGGCGATGTTCCCGGCTTCCAGGCCCCACACGGCCGACAACTAGCCGCTCTAACTCTGTAGTGGAGCCGGGCATCTGAACGACTTCCAGTCAGGCACGGCCAGGCGGCGACAAATTGTTGGCTGCTCTGTCGGCCTGCTGTTCGCCATCCTTACTACGTGAACCATACAACAAAGACACAAGCCAAAGAAGTGATTCATAGAAGGGGCAGAGACGGACAAGGACAACATGTCAATGTGAAACAAAACATGTGGGATGGATTTGACCAGGAATTAAAGACACAATGCAACTAAAGAGTCAGTAAAAGCTAACACCATCGACATGTTGCCCAAACTCGTGCAAAAACAACTGCGTGCAAACATCATGTCGTCTTCGCCTCCGGTGCTGTGCAGAAGCCCACACCGCTGCACAGTTCACAGCTGAACCATACCTGACGCTGGGGTCGGGCCAGTTAAATGCTTGACCAGTAGAAACACTTCAGGCTCCCACAGCCAGGCCGTGGAGGCGTCCGGGTCGACTGACCCTCGTGGCGAAGGTGCCACACCCAGCTTTGCTGTCTGCGGCAGAGGCCTGATCGCCCACAGAGATGCCAACAGCATCCAACAGCAGGCGAACGCAGGCATCCAATCGTGCTAGCCCTCCCTCGGCGACTCCGCCGGCCTCCCAACCCCTTCGGAACAACCTGCCAACCAGCTCCCTGTTTGCCGGTTCCTCGCTTCTAGTCGATGCTTGTATCGGCTACTACCTGTCACTGGCATCTAAGATTTCTCTCTCTTCTCCGCTCCCAAACGACCGGCATCTCAAGGCATCCCACCGTCCTACAGCTTCACATTGGTAGTTTGCAGAGACGTAGAGCTGTGCAGATGCTGCGGAGCATTCCAAGGCCTCCTTGCAGTTCAAAGTAAACCTCGGTGGGTCACTGCTTCCGCGGCACAGGCTCACCCTGGGCCGTGCCAGAATCAGAGCAAGGGTTTCAGGAGATTTCCCATCCCAACGTCACCGACGGCAGTTGCAATGGAAGTATTCCTGAGCTGGCCCCGTGGCACCTCAAAACTCTAAAACTGCTCGGTGCCCTCATTGTCAGGTGGTTTGCGGGTTTAACTACTAACAGATACTAACAAACTCGAAAGACCGTTTCGTTGCTGCATCACACACACATACACACCCTTCACGATTTACCATCGCCCAAGTTGTAGACTCTAGACAGTGTATCGTTTCGGCCTCTCTCTCTCTCTCGCTCTCTCTCTCTCTCTCTCTCTCTCTCTCTCCCGGGCTTGGAGGTCGGGCCAGCGTTCAGGCCTTCCCCGCATGCGCGCGCGCACACCCGCAAGGTCTTGCATCCCCCCCAGGGTTTGGCCCCAGGGCGGCTTGGCTGTACGAGACTTTGGGGTTTGCCACACTCCCGGAAACAACAAAACACTCGTTCACAGGACTGGTGAGTTGTGAGTGTGGCTCCCCCCCAGCAGTTGCAGTGCTAGGCTGAAGTCCTTTAAGTTTGGTCTGCAGGCAAACTCGTTTCGCCTCTCTCTTCTTCCGCCGGGCATGAGGGGTTGTTGAGACCCCTCGGCCACTAGGGCCCCCCCATATTCTGTGGGGACTTTGGAGGAGTGTGAGAGCGTCTCTCTCCAGGCCCGAGGGGCGAGCCCCCTATTTAGGGAAGCCAGACTCTCTCTTCTTCAGCACACACTATGGACCGTTCGACCTGATTCTCTGTCTCTCGTGATGTCAGGTTGTATCTGTGGCCCGTACAGCTTCGTGGAGTCGCCCAGGACCTGTCGATTCGGACGCCGCTCCAGACAAGACGACAGTGCTGTGTTGATTGCATCTACCACCCACTTCAATCCTGCGAGCACGGGCACCGTGGAAGTAACAAGGCATTAAAACATGACAGGGAACCGCTTCCGCTTGCAGAGTGTCGATGACTGGTTGCAAGACATGCTGGTCCAGCGCCTCTGCAAAAAAAACGTGCCAAACAACAACCGACACATTCTTGGGAACAGCTCTTCTGCATTATAGTGCTTGCAGGGCACGTGGAATGCGAGTGGTGACAAGTCAACTCCAAAGGGTGATGTTGCCCAAAATCCTTCGAAAAGAGCTCCGATGGTGAGCAGCATGAAAGAATTGCTGCCTATTTGAGACAAGTCTGCACATCGTGCAGATCTACCTGTGTCAGGGTGCTCCTGTCTGCCGCTCGACCAGGCTGACGTGGCTGAAAGGAGCAACGTGAAGACTGCAACACGCCGGAAGCATGATGCCACCTGAGGGATTGTATGATTGTATGACCGGTCGCGCGCACTCTCAGAATCTGGCACAGCTACAGAAGGCAGTACTTCAGCAACCCCAGCATGCACGCAGTATCTGCCTTCTGCCAGCCACCGATCCCGAGCAAATGCCACACCTTACGGAATCTGCGAACCCCACCAGATGCGTTGCGATCCATGCCAAGAGACTTCAAAACTTTACCAGACATTTCAGAAATGAGAGATTCATCACAGCACGATCTTCGACCCGAGCGACACGCACCGGACACGCGCTGAAGTCACGCAGAAGAGATTGCCAAGGAACTCGGGAACATGTCTTCGCACACGAGCATAAAGCCTGGCTTTCATCAAGAACCATGGCATGAAACTCGACAACTGCTGTTAAGTTGAAACGGCCACAACTGCAGTGGAAAACCCGCTACCCGCTTGCTGCTCTGGCGCCCATCCACTCAGACAGGACGACATCCGCCTTGTCACCTGCTAACCTGAGCATGTGGTTGCTGGCCCACTCCGACTCCAGCTGCGTCGCACTAGATTTGTGACTCGTGCCTGTCGGGCACGTGTTCATCATACGGCGACCGTGCATTTCTGTCACACATCGCAAGCTTCTTGTGTGGATGCACGTCAAGGTTCACGAGCCAAAGACAATGCCTTTCATAAATGCTCTGCCAAGCGACACTTCATCGACCACGCTAGCTACCTCCTTCAAGGTGCTTTCAGTAACGTGACCCTACCCTGGCCCTCCCTTGAAGCGCGCCTCGACCGCACCTTCTAGTACGACAATGCTGCCGGCAAGGCCGTTGGCTGCAACTACTTCGTGGGCCAGGTCTGCCATCTCCGTGTTGGCCTCCACTGCAATCACCCGTCTTGCGCCTAACATGGCATCCGGTGGGTCATAAATTCCCTTTCACTCCTGCGGTCTGCACCTAGGCTTGGATCTGCTCTTCGATCGGCTTCGCTAGCACTGCCCGTCTGTTCACCCGGCCTGCTTGAGCTGCGAAGATGGACAGGATGCCGGTCCCACAACCGACTTCCAGAACGATCTTGTCCTGCAAGCGGCTCCGTGTTCGAGCCGTCTGGAGATCTCCGGACAGCCCAGCCTTGCAAGTCCGGAAGATTGCTTCGCGAAAGGCCTCAGTGCGGACTCGGTCTTCGATCATCTCCCGGTGAGTGCCTGCACATTTGAAGCCGTTGTGCCTTGAGCATGAAACATGCTTGCTGCTCAAAGCCCCCGAGTGGTGAACGGTGCTTTTCAAAAACGCCAAGGCACCCAAATCACTGTAGGCGCCGGAATCTTCTGGCAGCTTTGGAGCAACCTCCTCATCAAATGCCTTGAGAAGTAGGTACACAGATTCACTCACCTGAAAAAAGTGGTCTGTCCAAGGCTGAAATGCCAACTCGAAGCTCGAACACAGCTATGCTGTCCCAGCTTGCAGCGAGCAGCTGGTGCACCTAAAGGCCCCTGCAAGAACATAGACATAGGCTGAACATAGCGCTGCCGGAGACAGCTTTGTCCGAGCGGCATCTCCTGGATGCCAGCCGGCACGCAGAATCTCGGCAGACAAAGCTCGGAAAAGCTCGCCGCATTGGGAGAAGCGAGAACCGGCACTGAAGAACCGACGAGGTGCCGCCCTGCATTGTCTGCGCCGACTGATCCACGCCTGCAACGGCCCGCAATGCTACTGCAAGCGCAGTGCACCGCGCATGCATACGTGTAGCCTACAATCGTCCGAGGACTGCCTGCTAGCTTTGACCCATTGCTGACAACATCTTTACTGCGCGTGCTGGGAAAGTTGTTGTGAGCATCAGCTAAGGCTATGGTCGCAGCCATCCACGTGCATCGCTGCAGGTACGCTACCTGCCCCTATTCATGGAGCATTGTTGGCAGAAGCCGTGAAAACGACCCTGTGTCACATGAAGAACTGGTTTGTGTCCATGACCGGGGACAATATGCGCACGACACGTCAACACGGCGCCGTGACGGGAAGCCACGAACAACGGGCCTGCTGTAAAACTGGTCCCACTCACATGTAGAACTTCGTTGCACTAGGTTTGCCACATGACTTTCTCAAAGGATGGTCGCAGTCATTGCTGGCAATGAAACAGGGTGTTGATGATGACGATGATGATGATGATGATGATGATGAAAACGAAGATGAGATGATACTTTGGTGCCATGTATGCCGGACAAAGGAATAGCATACAAAAGAAACCAACGTGTGATGATCCGTAAGGGGTATGGTGTTGGCCCTTCGCTATGCCAGACACGAACGAATGATATAGCACGAGATGAGATGGAGATGAACACGAAGAGTAATGCCCTGCCAGCTGCGCCCCAGGGCACAGGTGAGAGCAATGCAGGTACGTTTCCCTGGGGTGTACGGGAGCGCTTCGTTGGACCGAGCTTCCCTTCACCCCCTCCGTCCCCAGCATAAAAAATACAACGAAAACGATGACAGCACACGGAGACACACACGCACACACACCCGCACGCACGTATGCCTGCCGCATACAAAGAGAGAGAGAGAGAGAGAGAGAGAGAGAGAGAGAGAGAGAGAGAGAGAGAGAGAGAGAGAGAGAGAGAGAGAGAGAGAGAGACACACACACGCACGACGCGCGCCCGCGCATCTTCCAGCTGAAAGCACAACACACAAACCCAGTAAATTCTATGGCAATGCTGTTGAAGGTCATTTTCGCCTCTCTATCGAGCTGCGCTGGAAGTGAGGAAAAGTGGTGATGCGATGAAGTTTTGCGACATCTCGGGACAGTTAGACAGCTAGCCCTCTACCTCAGCTGGCCTTGCCACAGAGCATGAGTATCGCCGAAGTAGAGCCGAGGCGACGTGGCAGCCCAGCCACAGCAGCCATACCCCCACCTCACGAGGAACAGCTGTCGCGCAATGAGCTGCGTGGACATGGGAACATCGATCAACGGCACCCCTTCCCCCCTTGTCTCACAGCACCTCGATTCGGATTCGGAGTCTGCGCCAAGCTTGAAGAGCGGCTCCGGGACCATGAATGCATTGAAGGGATCATCTTGAAGAACTGAAAGTAAAGTGCTGCTGTTCTCAAGAAGCAAAAACTTGTGTGGTATTCCGGCTTCGTTGCATAATTCTTGGGGCCGACAACACAACCACCTCCTGCTCCAAGTGCGTGGAATGATCGGCCATGAGCCACACAGTAATTCTGGCTGCACAGTGCAGATTGTGTAATCAGCCACAGAGGAAGCGACTGATTCAGGTAGTTGGACACGGCTTGTCTCACTTGACACAGGCTATGTGCAAAAAGCGGCACATTGATCCAAGCTGGCTTGAGGTCAGCGAATGGGCCTTCAAGTCAGCTTCATCAGTCGACTCGTACTGCGCGATGTCCTTTCAGAGAAGAAATCGTCTACCTCTTTGCAAACATGCGACTCACTCTGCTTTCGGGTAAGGTGTCCAGCTCACAGTTGGCATGATCTTGCAGACATGCTTTGAGATCAATACCACCAAAACACTTCAGGAGTCCGCGAGGTGCAGAGCAGCCGAAGAGATAGCAGCGGTTGCTTTGGCGATGTCAGCCGTCAACATTTCCTCAACACTGCATGCAATTTATCATGCAGGTGCGCATTCATGCCAAATGTGGCTTCCGAGTGCAACGTCATCGGCAAGACATCGAGGCAGTTGTGCGGCATACTTCCACGAGCGCGCCTTCTCCTGCTCATTCGAAGTAATTTGCCACTGTGTTGCCTACAAGTCGAGGAAAGCATATCATTGCATCTGATGCAGTTCGGTGCTCTTCTCGGGCTAAACAAAGTCGTGCCTGAGATTCGTTTTGGCACCACATGGTGTACTTCCAGTACCTGAAAAGGCAAATGCGAGAGAAGGTAAACTAGATTTGACTTCGAACTGTGTTTCTGTCCCAACATTGCATGGAATCGGAAATCTTTTTCCCATTCTTGCACTAGGCATTTGCCACATCTCCGCGCAGAGAAGATGTGGACAGCGCCTGATGGCATCGTGTAAAAAACAACTGCTGCCATATCTGGAGCCTGATGCAGCGAGATGCCAGTTACACCAAGCAACACGTGAGCCTCCAGAGCGCCCTGGTGAACGCCTCCAGGTTGCAGCTAGGCCAGTCAGAATAAACAGATGCCAACGCAACAGTTGAGCTAGCACCCAATCATCTGCTCGAAATAGCTCGACATCCAAGTTAGGCTAGGGCTACCCTTAAATACTCGGCAGAGGTGCTTTGCTCTTGACACGGAGCCTTTGGGAGGGGCCCTTGCCTGAACCCGACCGCTGTTGAGTGCAATGCCCAACACTTCCCCTGCGTTTCTGAGTTTCTCCGGCTGCACATTCTCTTGGCATGCAACAGTTCCACTTGTTTGTGCCACTTCTTAGATGTGTGGCTTTCTTGGTTCACATGGTCTCTCGCGGGCTTTCTGAAGCTCATTTTTCAATTTTCTGAGGAGCGTGCCGGGGCGCAACCTGCACTTTAACACTTATCAGCTCGGCGAATGAATCTGCCTCGGGCTCGAGGTCTTATCCCATATTCAGGGTTCGCCTTGCTTCCCCTAAGTCCCTGATCCAAGCAGAACGGGGTCGTGCACTTCTTATCATTGTTATGGCTCTTCACCGTATCTTCCGAATTGCTCTGGATGAACGGCTTTCGCTTAACTACAGGATACTACAGGTATAGGCATGCATCCGCTCAAAATTTCAGATGGGGGTTTCTTGCAGCTTGTGTTCGGTGGGCTGCGACCGACGTGCTTTACGGCTCCTTAAAACTGGCAAAAGTCGTGGTTCGCCCTGTGGGCAGAAAATGAACGTCCGCATGGGAATGCAAAGCTGCAAAGCCATGGCCTCATCATGCACATGACGTCGGAACAGCTGAACCTGGCAATGTAGTGCAGGCTTTTGCCGTGTCGAAGAATTGACATGACGATTCCTGCACAGCTCTGCAACTCTAAGGCGACAACGTACGCCACTTGTCAAGTCTGCGAAAAAGAAGTGTCTCCTTACTTGCCCAGTGAAACATGACACCGACTTGTCTTGCAATGCAGAGACGAAGATCAGCATTCGAGCAAGCTTGCCACGACACAATCTTGGCATCAGTCGTGGGACTTTCTGCTATGATTTGCTCCAAGAAGACACTTTACAAATTTCTCGATTGTCATATCGGCAACGTACATGCTGAGCTCCTTCTGAGCTCAAGGCTCATGTTATGACTGCCACACAGGCTATAAGGCACAGCAATCATCAGCACGACCGGTGTCTGCCAAGTGCAGTCCCAGGTTCGCCTTCTTCTCACCTGACAGAATGGCGAGAAATGGAAAAACAGCCGGAGTACGAACAGTCCTCTCAGCTCTCAGTGCGGAGCTCAGCTGGGATAGCTGACCGCCACCACTACACCGCCGCGCAGCATCCTCGACAATTGAAGCGACTGACACCCCGACTAGTCTCGAGACCACACAGACGTGCAAATTGCCGCAAAGTCTGGACTCGTCTAGTCTTCAGGTCTAAGGTAGTGTTTTCGAACTTTTTATTCCAACTTGGCAGCAGACCCCTTTGGCACCGGCCATGAGCGGTTGCGGCGTAAGCGGCGATGCCGTTCCAACCGCTGCCAGACCTAAACCGACGGATGCTTAGAGGCTTAGAGACTCTCAGTTCGATGCGCAGAGGTTCACTGCCAGCTTGTCTGAGGGCTGGTCTCGCATCTGGGCTTCGAGGCATGTCTCCAAGAAGTGCGTCATACTGCTCCTCCCAGCTCCCACATGGACTCAGGTGCCGTGCGCCTATCTAAGGTTTCCTCTCAACCAAGCAGTCCTGGAATGGATGATTCGAAGCCAACGCCATGCGGTCTAGCCAGTCTGCGTTGACTTTGCTGGCAAAGTTGCCTGGCAGCTCATGGTTACCGAACAGATTTTCCGCAGCTGCCACGGTGCAGTATTCAGCAGTGACCATGTCATGTTCACAGTAGTCTCTTGGGCTGCTGGCATTTGGGAGGAAATATGCACGTTCCCAGGGTTGCACAACACTTGGCCTTCCGACTTGATGACCGCCGCCATCCTTTCTAGCACCTGGCCAGTGACACCGAGGTGTTGAAGCCGAACCACACAAGCAGGTGGATTGTGCTGCGATTGTCAGATCTAGCCCTAGACCATAGCTGCCATAGCTTCTTCTTCCTTCACCTTATATGGGAACAAACAGCCTTGTAAAATGTCATGTGAAGCTGCCTGACTTTGTTTGCGGAACGCGGCCTTCTTCGGGCGCACCCGCTGCATTTGCCGGATGCTTTCTGCATGATGCGCCTGAAGTGCCAGGATGCGGCAGAGGCTACACATGCCACATCACGACTTTGATAATTCCACCAGTGTTGCCCGCCATCATGTGAATACTCGTGGATAGAGATTCTTCGGCAGAGCGGTATGGCCTTGTAGCGCTCTATTTCATGCCAGGTGTCTTGGACCTTGCAAGGCTTTCGGCCATTACGTTTTGACGATCTTCGTTGTTTTTTCCCGCGAATGAACAGCCTCCTCTTTGGACCCATTCACGAGCTTGTGGATGATATCCTCCCGAAGGAGCAGATACCTTGGGGCCACAGAGCTTGAAGGTTGGGTCCAGCTCAGGGGAACCGTCTTCAGCCACAGTTTCGGACACAGGTGTGTACTTGATGCTTGGGACTTGGGATCGGGTTCATGGCTCATCTGGCCCGGTCCTGGATATCCATACCTGGCATACATCTAGTCCTCCAGCCACAGCTCCATCGGCATGAAACTCTTAAACCTGCATCCTCCCTGAGCTGCCCCTCCGGTTCAGGATATTCCCATGAACATGAAGCCTTATTGCCGACCATGCAGAAGAGGTCCCACACGGGGACGAACAGGAAAGGTCTAAGTGGTTCGGCCTGCCTGACCACATCACTTGACAGTGCGATTTTTATGCAGGTAACTCGTCCCAATCATCACCAGACGGAAAGTCTTGCGCCGTTTTGCAATAGATCTCACGAATCTGCCGGCGCACCTCAGCTAGCGAGATATTCACAGACAAAGCAAGATGGTGGTTTCATGCCCCAAACAAACTCGTGTGGCTCACAAGCGAAAACCACGTTTGACCCTAGATCGAAGTCCCAACGACGGCGTCAACACGGTTTGCATGAGCCCTTGTTGAGAGAGACCATGTGTCATGCAGCGGACAATTGAGCGCAAGTGCCTTCAGCTCTCGATCAACCTCACGACACTCTCGGGGCATGTCCGAGAAGTCCTCGTGCCTGACAAGAACAATCAAGCTTGCCCGTTACTGCACTGTCCGCTGCTAGGAACAGCAACCTGAAAATGCAGACTTGCAAACCATCCATATCAAGAGCCAACACCGACTTGGTGAGTGAAGATCGAAACAGCTGCCATGTATCAACTCCTACAAGGATCGAACGAACAAGTCTCTAAATTTCGCACAAGCCCGCTTAGTTTGCTATCTTTCATGGAAAGATGTCCTTCCGATGCTTGCGATGCATTTCCTTGCCTCGGTTTCGGTCAACATTTCAATGGGGCATGTCACAGTTGCACCCTGCCTTAAAGCTAGGCCGCACCCTGGGCAGTTCCGCGCTCGAAGTGCCTGACATATTGGGGCTAGCCGCGACAAGCCGAGACAAACTCGTGGTCAAACCCAGGAAGCTCAGAGCAAGGGAGTTTGCGTAGCCTGTTCACCGAACCTGGCGTATCGCCCTGAGTCGTTGCATACTTCTGGCAGGGACGCCTGGGGTAAGCATCGCTCGCAAATGCGGTGCTCACAGATGGCAGAGAAGAGGAGGCGCACCTTCAAGCGAGTGGACAGCGATTGTAGGAAGCTAGACATCACTCATCTTTATCAGTTGCCTTGCTAGCAGCAGCTGCAGGGCAAGCTCAATGCACAGCGGGATATCTACGACAATAGCTTGCTCAGTCGCAACAACGCGCAGCAACATTTTCATTTTTGCGTGCTGGGCACATCCATGCAGACTACATCAGAAAAAAGCAGGGCGAAAGGGCCAACAAGTCTGGCATACCAAATACCACTCGCAGAAAGCCCACTTGCCAGAGGGCGGACAGTGAGGACGCCGAACTGAGTTGGACCATCAGCTCCGAAAAAAATCTCTGCAACACGTCGCAATGTCTCAAATGAACGGCCAGCCACAAGACATAGCTTGAAAAATGGCTGCTGCCGCCTCCGGATTGTGGTAGAAATCCACATGGCAACGGGCACATTCGCTCATGTCTCTCTATCTCTCGACAGTTGTACCTTTTGTCTCGTGCACAAGCCAAGGCTAGGCCTAAGGCGGCCTAGGCTACAAAGCGTAAGCAAGCCTAGGCCCATAAGGCTTCAGTTCTATTGCTGCTATAGCTGGCAATCCATGAAGTCGAAGCTACCGATTAAACTCACGCATAAAAGGCCTGCTGAAACATGATGCTGTTCTCCCATGCATCCGCAGCTTTCAGTTCCAAGAAAAGGCCGTCAACAGTTGAAGCATGTCTGGACACATATACTGCGTGATGGACAGCACTGAAATCTGACTGCACCCCTAGTCAGCAGCGTCAGTTCGCGAAAGGTCACGACTCCTCTTCCGTCTTTGCCGCGCCGATCACTTTTTTCTCGGCGATGCACCGGGGTGTTTCAAAGGGCGACCGCACCTATTGAAGTTCTTTATTGTCCGCCGGCACGGTCCGACGCTGGTTAAGTCTGAAGACTGCTGCTGCGGCAACGCGGTCTCAAACTATCGCCCTGTAAACAACCGCTTTCACAGATGCCATTCCAACCCGAAAACCTTGCCTCATTCTGATGATGCAGAGTCGTGAGAGCTGGATACACAAAGCAGTCCTCGAGGTCCTCGAGCATCTCAACAGCTTTGAGAACAGGACTGCCTCCTGTCCAACAATCTCGACAAAGGAAAGACACCCACACATCTGCTCGCGGCATCTTGAAGCAAAGCAGACGCGTATGGCTGGCCCAAAACATGAGGCCGCCTGCAGCAAAGGCGCCGGCACCTCGAAGTCTGCGCAAAATGCTGTCCGGAGCTCCCACTGAACGACAAGCTGATGCCCCTCGCACGACTGAAAGCAACAGTATTGGCATGGTTTCAAGAATTCTCAATGGCAGCTGCCGAAGAACAACCATGAAAACACGATTTTTCCTGTCTTGGGATGCGGCGAACAGATGCCGTCTTGACAGCATCGGAGCAAGCAAGTCCTGCACATGCCTGCAAAAAACATTTGCATATCTGAACAAAGAAACCTCAACTCTTGTCGGTGTTCAAGCCCCAGCAGCGGGCCCCGCAACGGCAGTTCTCAACTTGGGCTGTGCGACACATCGGGTTGGACAGACTTCACCGTCGACAGCCCTCCGACATTGAGCCTACATGCCCAAAAACAATGTTTTGATTTCTGTGCTGTCTCGCATTCTTAGGGACCACATGCAACAGACGGTCTTACAGGTTCTGCTGCCGTTCCAGTAACGGTCTGAGGGCTCAACCACAATCAGGCTCAGCACTTGCGCGGCTCCGCACATCCTGATGCCGTCGCACATACACGAAACACGACCGATCCCAGTAGAAGTTGCCAGCATAACTCACTATATGTATGCATCAAAAGACTGACGCGGCGACCTGAATGCCGGACATGGGAACCTCTTCATTTCTCAAGACACGGCTGAGCTTGCCATGTCGCTGAACCAAACATGGGCGGCGACATGTCTGCAACACACGTACATGTATGTATGTTTGCATGTATGAATTGGACGAACAAAAATTACAGGAACTTACTAGAAAACAATATCTAGTTACTAGTTGAGGGGGCCTCAATGCATGACGATCGTGATCTTTTGCAGAGGTATTGGCGGGATGGGAAAGTACCAAGTACAACGTACCTTCTCCGAAAGATTGCCGGGAGACTCCCACTCTCCCACTCATATATTGACGGACTTCAAGAACTTGGTCAGAATTGCTCATAGGATTTAAACTTTCGAAAACAAAAGATAGCCCACACATGGGCAATCTCGGTTTGGGTGAGTTTCGCACAATGCAACACAAAGTGCAATGGGAATGCGGGGGCATGTTCTTCGGATCAGGCGAAGCAAAACTGGCATGCAGTGAAAATACAATCGTTTTTTTTCAACTTGCTGGCAAGGTGCTTCCAGCTGCTGGTGCAAGTTGACCGGGCTTCCGCTGTTTCGGTTTTCTGATGTCCGTGCGAAACACTGCTGCAACATGCAATAGCCAACCCTCTTGTCTGTGTAGACTGTAAAAATGACAGCTGTGTGTTTTTGCAACCCGTATGAACATCTGGGACACCAAGGAAAACAATGAGCATCGTTCCTTTCGTCAAAGCAAAGATGTCCAGTTGAACACTTGTGCAAAGCAAACCAAACATCGATCCTGTTTCTTGTTTCATTCCTGGAAAAACACTACAACAAAAGACACCAATAAACTCAAACAAAGAAGCAAAATGTCAGTTAAAACCACCAAAATTTGACCAATGTGACAAAACGAAAGTTAGGTTGTAAAATTTCAGATCGGTCTTTATGCGCACCTTGTTTTCTTTTCGATTTGCATCAGCTCAAATTCAGACCCCTTCGACTCTGTCATCTTCAGACTTTCTTCTGCTTTGGAGAGGAGAGTTGGAGTCAGAAATGTCAATGGACAAGTTGGAGCCAGTGCGATCAGACAAATCACAACATTCTCAGCAACAACATTTGCAAGAAGAAGACCCATGTGGGCCAGAAACAGTGGGAGAGATTGCAACAAACGCAACATCCTTCCACACACTCTAACAGTGCTCTGTGAGAACATGGCTCTGAAGCAGCAAAACAAGTCAACTGTTCGGAAAAGAGATGCGGCAGCTTATGCGCTTGTTTGACGTCCATGCAGGTTGTCATCTGCGATGTAAGTCTCAATGAAAACACGAGTTGTCCCACACTTTAGCAAGAACATTCATCTCGCAAAAAAATTTGTCCATGACCAACGACTGGCCGGCACTTACCAGCAGACAAGCAAGTTTAAGACACATAAAGCTTCCCGCTTTGCACACAGATTCGTCGCTGCACTCCAAAGAGCATGTGCGCTCTCAACCGGCCATGTCGTTTCACATGAACAACTGTCCAAGAAGAACTCTCAAGCAGCAAAATGTTCTTGGAAACTCTTGTTCAACAAGCATCTCACGCATTTGCCCACAGTGGCAAACAAAATCTCGTCTAACTCAAAAACAAGCTCAATGTCTCAACTTCCATCTGCCCGAAAAAAAATGGTTGTGGACTTGGCCTTGTGCGGACAATACTGTTGCTGCAGCATCCTGCAGCGAATCCTGCACTTGGCAAGAACACATGCCGCAATTTGATTTTTTCAACCGAAGATGTGTTCAAGACAAGCAGTGACTGGGTGCTACATTTTGGAGTTATCCAGCTGCATCTTGCTGACCAACTGGTAACATTGGACGGTATTCCTTGATCCGCATCCAGATTTTTGCGATTCCGACAACGAGCTCGAAAGTGGTTCCTCGCGAACAAATGCGCCCCCAAAAAAAGAAGCCGTTTTCTGAACCTGCGGGAATTGTGCCAATATTAGATGGCTCCAAAAAACGGGTCCGTCTGGACCCGTTTTTGGCCCCGCTCTTTACCCGGAACTTTGCCGTTTTATTGAATTCTCAATTCACAAAGAACTTCAAAGAACGGCCGCCAACAGGTGTTGTGAAAGTCACAACTTCTCCTCTTTTTTAAGCAGCCACAACAGCGACTACAGCTTGAGCATCTTGATCTGCTGCAGATTCTGAGGCAACGACAGCACCGATATGGTGTAGCTGAGCTATGAAAATCAACAAACTAAAGAAGACGGCCACCACAATCCTGACAATTTCCGGACCCAGAAGTGGGCTTGTTGGAAGCACTACAGAATCTGAACCTCGCCGGATTGGCAGCATCGTTATGCCGCTTCCCACTCGGCTTCTTGCAGAGGTTCTTCATAATGTAGGCTGCAGCCTGTGCCTGGAGCTGCCCTGGAGCTCGGCCACAATCACCAACTTGCAAGAAGTTCCAGGAGCGCGGCTCCATCTTCAAGTCCGGGCCTGAGCTTGATGACAGACTCATACGGCTTTTACTGGCTCTGATGCTGAATACTCACCTGCTGCCAAGGCACAATCATACACGACAGCCATGCTAGTCATCCAAGTCTTGAGCGAGATGTGCTGGACCATGCAATCCGGATCGGCGAGTCTGAACTCCGGCAGGCTGAAGCCCTCTCCCACATTGGAAATGAAGCCCGCCTCCCATGCCCACTGTGTGGAGTGCACTGTGCACGAAATGATTCTGAACTGCCTCTGCTTCAAGACAGCCACCACCTCATACGCAGTCTTCGCTCGGCTGCTGTACTTGTGGTTCAGCTCACCATCGGAGAGCTTGTGCTTGAGCCTAAGCTCTTAACAAATACCTACGAGCTTTGGAATCCATACCGCCCCGAAGCAGTGATCCAAATAGGATGCGGAAAAAACTTTGCCCGAAAACATTTACAGTACAAGCCATGGGCCTTATGGTCACATGTTCATTGGTAGCGGGGTTGGGATTCAGGTTTATATTCGGTTCCACACGCGAGTTTGGCTTCAAAAGCATGGTTTCACACCCGGATCAAGATGCCACAACATTTCCCTTCTTTAGGAAACTTCGTGCAAGCAAGAGGCCCCCTGACACTATCGCGAATCCTCCAGCAAATCGCAGCACAGATAGTTGGATAGAACTGGACGCGGTTCTGGCTCTTCTCGAAGATCACAGTGTCTGCAGCATCGATTGTCTCCGGCGTTCTCGGGAACGCGGCGTAGCCGATCAAGGCACGCTGAGCGGAACCTTCGCAAGCCATAGCCATCTTGCACCAACAAGCCAAGTCCGTATGGGCAACGATCCGATGTGCTACGATCCGATGTGTTGCGATTGGTAGCGACGGCTCTGCAAGTGGTACAAACAGTAACCGTCTCGACAGTACTCGCCGAGCAGCAGCCTGGACCGATCCTGGAACAATGGTTGTCCACTCTGTGCAACGCACGATAAGGACCTGACTCCGAGATAAAACTAAAATAGACAATACTCGCTCAAGATTGCGTTTCAATTAATAGTGAGCTGGGCACCGGCAATAGGACTGCATGGCACAGCGGAGGTTCACACTCTCACTCATTTTGAGATTGCCATGCCATCTCAGCGAAGCCGTGCTGTCCGAAGTCTCTGCGGAATCAAAGTTCATGT